GGCCGTCGTTCGGAGACGGGGAGAATCCTAGTTCGGCAACGGAGAGCCAAGGGCCAGCGCCACATGGACAGAAGCTTGTCATCGATTGGTGGTCCACTGACGACGGGAGCATCGCGCACGGGGGTCGATGCGGCATCCTGATGGGCTGGGTGCAAGGGGTGCATCCGTCTTGGAGCCGTTTTGGGGCCCGTCTTTCTGGAGCCATCTTGGTCTTTGGTGGCCTTTGGTTGGAAGAATCTTGGCTTGCTCACACTAAGCGATCCTGGTCCCGTGGGGCTCTTGTTCGCGGGGCCTCGTTTTTTTTTCTTCCTCTTACCCTTCTTGCTTGCTTTTGCGTCGCTCAAGGGACTTGGGGACCTCGCTTTGGAGCGCACTAGGCCGTCGGGTCGCTGTTCCGCTGACAATTCCCGACTGTCTGGACAGCCGGCTCACCGTTTTCGCCAGCACTCGCATCACATCGCGTGTTGTAGACAGGGGAGAGTCGATATTTAGTCCCAAAGTCACTTGACATGGCGAGGACGTGTTCCGCTGGGCGCGACAAAAAGAGTAAAGATGAAAGCGCGTGTTCGGAGCCGTGGATGGATCCAACTGTTGTGTCACCCACGTTTCTATGTATGTGGTACGTACAGCTTTTGACCAAGTACCTACTGTAAGTAATTTCCATTGGAGCCTCGAACACCCCTGGCTCAGGAATGGTCGGGTCCAACACCATCCTCTATCCGAGTAATGCCATTGGTGCGGCGAGTCTTGTCTCTGGTGTGAATCGAGTGAAAGTTGGGGATGGAATCATGAAGGAGGAGGAAGAGGAGGGTAGCATCTTTCGATGATGGATGGTTGTGGACGACTACCTAAGTAAAGAAAAGCAAATAAATGGAAGGCGCCTGTACTGAGTAGGTACCGAGCATCCTAAGGAAGGAGTGAAGGAACAGGGAAGGCGACCCAGGATTGGGCCAAGTACCTTGAACACCCTGACACCTTTGATACCCAAGCACAAGACTCCGACTTACCATCCATCCATCCACTTGGATCTCGACGGATCACGTCGATCTGGGATTCCATTGTTCGGTCTTGGGAGTGCCTAGCCCAATACGGTAGAGACCAAGAGTTTCGATAGTTGCTCCCGTTAATTTCAGAAACTCTGGGCAAAGGAGTCTGACTAGGAGATAGTGTTGACGCATAGTCAGCTAGTACTGACTGACTTACACATGTGGGTTCACCCAAAAAGTTGCTGCACAAGAATTTACAATTGCGCACCTTGCTTTTCAAATACAAAGCCTTTACTTCTTCAATAGGCAATCATGACATTTATCAACCCGCCCCAAACTCGAGTGGGTGGCACAACTTCCCCAGATTGCAGAATTGTACATCCCCAGCTGTAAAGTGCCATGTCTTGGGCCAAGACGCCTCGTGCGCTTATGTAACCTCCCCCCCCCCCACGTCTCCGTTCATGACAACCAAGCTTCAACACCACGTGCCCTCGCCGAGATATTGGCACTGTCTCATTAGCACGTCCTCTCCCCCCGGAGCTCGCAGCACGCATTATTAGCCCCCATCCCGCTGTCTGTCTTGGGAGTTTTCTCAACGGGCTGAACGGTCGATTCCCTGCAAGAACTGCAAGCCACAATCGCTCCAGACTCGGGCAACGAGTCCCTCACCGGTTTCTTAAGTGCTCAAGTCACAGGCAAGTCTCACAATTTCCTGCCGATACGGACGACGAGGACCCAGCGGACAAGGGGACGAGAACGGGGAACCGACCCAACAGTGGTCATTCCGCCCTGGCCGGATTCTAATCTGCTCTGCTCAACTTGACTGGACTCGATTTGAGCTTTTTTTCAAAGGTCAACCACCCAAAGCCGCTCCCCCGGAGACGACGCCCTGGACGCCCTGTTCAGTTTACTTCGCCTGTCATTTCCTACCCGCAACAGCCAAGCTCCGACCAAATTCGAGCAAGGGTATCGAAGGACTCAGCCAAGCGCAGCCAAGTCGAGCCAAGGGTCAACTAAAAGGAACCAGCTGCTTTTTTCGTACGGCGCCATCCATTGCGGCGTTTGCTTGGCGCACAGCACAGTCCTCACGCAACTGCCGCACAGTCCTGCGATGCCCTCCCACACCATGCTGCGCAGCCTGCTTCAACCTGGCAGTAACATATCTCTTCCATTCCATCACTGCTGAGCAAGGCACGGCCATGAGAATCTTTGTCGCTCTGTCTTTTTTTCTGGGCACTTCTTGTCCGCCAAACTCTGTCCGGTTTTTCGGCCTCCTGGCTGCAAGCTCCAGCTGAGTCTGCCTCGTTTGAATTCGCGACACAGCTCAGGCCATTCATTCGTCCTCCTTGGAGCTGCTGCGACGCGTCGCAATCCCGTCGCAAGCCATGCCTCTCTTCTCCAGATATTCCATGCGCCAGAACCGCGGTTTCCTAGGTTCCGACAGCTCTGCATTGCCTTCACAAGATGCCCAAGTAAGTTCAGCCAATGCTTTGTCTTTGTCGCATTGAGTTCCCATCTTTGCTGTCAAGTCCGCTCTCGGTGACCATCGCCTATGGATCCCCTGTCATGAAAACCCAGTCGTCCTGACCTCCCGGCTAATGAGCACTTCCTGGAAATAGGATCGTCAACAACTGCGTTACGAGCTTGACTTGAACGCATGGAACTTTCGCATTTGGGGTGTTTGCGCATCGGGCTTTTTAACAGATTCGTAAGCTCTCTCCCACTGCATCCATTACCGACATCTACATGCTTCCACATGCTTTCATCACCTGCTTTGGATTCAACAGCCACCCCTAACGCTCTTGCAGATATAACCTCTTTTCCACAAACGTCATTCTCGCTTCCATCGCATTTGTCTACTGGCCTAATGGTCCAGAATGGTCCGGACTTCTCATCAACTTCTTTACTCTCCTTGGCTCCGTCATCGGCCAACTACTCTTCGGCTACCTCGCGGACCGGTATGGTCGAACCCGCCTCTACGGCATCGAACTAGTTCTTGTAATTGTTTCTACGATTGGTGTAGCCACTAGCAGTCACGGCTACAATGATCTCTCTTTCTTGGGTCTCTTTATCTGGTGGCGCTTTGTCATGGGGATTGGTGCGTCACCCAAATCAACCAAGGCTCGACGACATCACCAAGGACGGGATGCTAACAATCATGACAGGAATCGGAGCCGAATATCCCCTTAGCGCAGTAATTACATCGGAATGGTCCAGCACTCAGTCTCGAGCTACCATGTTGTCTTCGGTTTTCATGATGCAGCCGATCGGTCAGGCCCTGGCCCAGTTGGTTGGTCTCTTTGTGCTTCTTGGCTTCCAAAGGAGTCATGACCTTCAAGGAATGCGATGTGGTCTCGATACACTGCACGAAGAGGAGTGTAAGAAGGCCTTGGACGGCATCTGGCGCATTGTTATTGGTTCCGGCGCGGTGCCTGCGTTGTTGGCCATCATCTTCCGTTTCTTCCTATTCGACTGCGGCATCTACAGTCTCGAGGTCCGGAACAAACCAGCAATTGCTCTAATGAACACACAGAGGATTTACGGAGCACCTCAAGGAGGTGGAACGGAGGCCTTTCCCGGCGGTATCAACGGGCGCCCTCCGATGAACGGCTCGTTCCCGATGACCCAGCTTAACCAGCCTCCGCCATCGACGACATATCAGATGAACCCGCCTAACGGAAATCACACGGCGCCTTCTTATCGAACAAACGCGCCGCCTAACAATATGCATCTCACGAGCACCTCGCAGCAGGCCATGCCCATCCAGTTTTCCAAGGAGGATATGCACAACTACTTTATCCGAGATGGCAACTGGGCCTACCTCCTCGGAACAGCAGCAACATGGTTTTTCTTGGATGTATCATTTTATGGAATGAGCCTTGATAACAGAGGAACTCTGTCGACAATGTGGGCGACGACAAAACCGACGCCGATCAACGACAGACTTGAGTGTTGGAACTCGTCCCTCCAAGGGGGCAACTCTACAGTGCCACAATGGGCCATCGACGGACTTCCGGTTTGGTCGACCGACGCGACACACCCCTGCAACACCATCTACGACGTGCTAATCGAGCAGACTAAGCAATATTTGCTGACCGTGTCGCTTGCATCTATTGCTGGAAGTGCTTGCTTTGTCTTGTTTTCGAGCCGGATCCCCCGGCGGCAGTGGCTCACGGCCTCGTTTCTCGTCCTGGCCGGTTTCTTTGTGGTTACCGGCTGTGTCTATTATGGTGTCCATCAGAAGGATGGTGCACCTGCTACAGTGGTGTTTGTGGCCATCTGCCACTTTATGTTCAACTTTGGTAAGTTGACACCCGAAACCTGGTCTGATTCACGTTAACAAGGGTTGTTTCTAGGCGCGAACACGTTGACGTTTATGATTCCCGCCGAGATCTTTCCAACCTGTTATCGATGTATGTGCCACGGTATCTCAGCAGCAGCGGGCAAGCTCGGCAGTCTCGTGGCGGTGCTCGTGGTATACGGCATCAACCAGTCATACGATGCCGACACTCGACATGGCCTGATCTTCCTCCTATTCGGATCAGTGGCGGCGGTCGGGGCCATCTTTTCGTGGGCATATCTACCCAACTCGCAACGCTGGGTCGAGTACGATGGCAAAAAGTACCTCGAGTCAAAGACGCTTGAGGAACTGGGCGAGGGCAGGGTCAAGGCGCGGCTCACTGGCGAGCTGGTCACTATTGAGGAGAAGTGGGATGAAATCAAGAGGAGGAAAAGGGGCTCGCAAAGGAGCGACCCTTCTATACCCGATGGGGCTACATAATTGTACATGTTTTTTTTCGGATTGATGATGTAGGATGGGCGGATAAATCATTGATTGTATCATGAGCCCCCGACGGGCCTTTTTTTGTAATCTATACACAAGTAACGGATACCCTATAAACATGACGATTAGATACTTTGGGCATTATGTAGTCTCCATTGCTATTATACTCATTACTATCAATGGTGCTGTTGCTTCTAATCCTCCCTCACGTTGAGGTTCACATCTCCCCTTTATCCGCCGAGTCCATTCCGCCGAACCAGTAAATCAACAGTGTCGGCATACAACTCGTGATCACTCGTCGTTGCCCTTATACTCTCGTCAGCCTCGATGGAATCTAACCACTTTGCCCAGCGTGACCCAGGCGGAGGAGGCGACCAGCCACGCAGGGAAGTGAGGATACGGGGGAGGCGGATAGCAAAGGGGGCAAGATGGATATCGACGAGACTAAGGTTCAGACCGAGGAAGAAGGGGCCCTAGAGTCTATGTTAGCTTTTCATGTCTTGTGTTGTATACAACAGGGTAGAGAAGATACCTGCTCGTCGGCGGCCTGTACGAGGCTATCAATGCTGGTCTGGAGTCGTGCAGAGGCGTCATGTTGCAAAGCTATTTCCTGTGTTTGAAGAAGGGTGAACAGAGGCGGTATTATACGGTTATTGATCTAAACCTTGGTCAATTTCTACTACTTGTTAGACATTGGAGATATGCTTACATGGTCTATCCAGAATCGACAAGTAGCCTTTGACTGCGCATCGGTGGGAAGCAGAGGCTTGCCCTGACCCAGATCCTCAAGCTACTAGAGTATTAGACATTGTGTCCGTTCGAGGTAGTTGATGACTTACATATTCTAGGATCACGCCGCTTTCTGCACAGGTCCATTCACCCTGTCTTATCGCAGGAACACAACCATGCGGGTTCGCCTCGAGGAGGTGTGTTGGAGCCGGACGTCGAAAGGGGTCCGTCTCGCAGTATTGGTAGGCCAGGCCCTTTGCCTCGAGGGCTATCCAGACGCGCTGAGAGAAGGGGCTAGACTGAATGTTAGCAAGGTTACAGAAGTTGGAGGGGGCTATGAGTTACCAGAAGCATGCCCCGTATAGCTTCAGAGTGTTCTCTTTGGCGTGTTTCCTGGCTGTTATCAGTGCGGCGCCTGTAGTTTTCCGACTCGGGGGCTTCTGAAATATAGTCAGTCATCGTTCCCCCTCAGCCTTTCAAGCATTCACGCCTCACCTGTGCCTTTTTCGTCTCCCTCTCTTGCTTGGCCAAATACCGCTGCACACTATTCTTCTTAATCTCATCACTCTTCTCCAACGTGTGTTTATGAGGACCAGCAACACCATCCCCCTTTCCATTACCTCCATTACCATTAACCCTCTGAACCGTCCAGAACCGCTGTTGACCAGCAACACCTGCAAACCCACCCAATATTGCAGGCCCGGACTGTCCCTGGTCTAAAGGTTCAAGCTGCAGCTGCGCGCCGGGGAGATACTCGGTGATTTTTATCTTTACGTCACATAGATCGCGTTCGCGGGCGTTGCGCTTTCGCTTCTTCTTGTTGGGGTCGTCTGACTTGGGTGTACCTGGAGGCCGGCCCTTCATGCGACAGTCCCAATAGTGCGATACGAAGGGTTTTCGCTTATAACGCTGCGTCGAGCGGTGCGAGTAGACATTGTCGACATGGGGAAAGTATGTCTCAAACCTGCAAAGTATCAGCAGTGTTCTCTTATAGGAAATGCATCCCAGGGCAATGGAAGAGCTACTGTTCATGTGTGAGGACAATCATTTCGTCAACGTTAAACAGCTTATCCCGCCAAGCCTCCAGGTCCGGAGGATCAACCACAATCTTGCTACTCAACTGCCCATTCGACCTCTCAACAGGCTGTGGCGGCGGTGGCGGTGGCGGTTGTGCACCGAATACACCCTGTATCTGCTGCGTCTCGACAACAGGCACAGGCACCGCCGTCGGCGCGAGTATACCAAACTGACCCGGCGCATGATGTGGAGCCGGGGCCGTGACTGCAGCACCGCTCTGCGCAGCGTGCAGTCGATACGCCTCATCAAGATCCGGCGCGACATACCCGTCGAGTCCAATGCCGAGGGCCACCCGGTGATACTGCGCAACGGCGGGCGCAAACGGTCCGGAGCCGGGACCCGGAGCTGAAGGTGTGGCCATGTGGGGCCGATATTTTCAGGTGCGACGGGGACAAGGATGTTTCGGAGTTTGTTCGTTGGCTTTTTATTTTATCTTTATTTTTTACATTGCTGCTTTAACAATCAATGTCTCTTAGAAATTGGCGTAAGAAAGAGGGGCTTTGTTTTGGTCGTTGGGTGACACTTTTTTTTTCAGCCGCATGTCACAAATGGGCAGGTACGACAAGGCGGCAACCCGATGCACGGACCATACATTTAGCGTCAACACCATTGTAGACCCACTTTTACCAACTGACACATAAAAATATCAAAAAAAAGAGGCAAAAAGAAAGCCTCGCAAATTTGCTCGCAATCGAATCATATAGGAACAGCCCGATGCGGGGGTCGAACCCGCAACCTTGAGATCGCGTACTCGTTTTGGAATATTAAGAGTCTCACGCTCTACCGATTGAGCTAACCGGGCGTGGCTCGAGTTGATGCTTCAAGAGGAGCCCAGTCGCCTTGTGAGGACGACGGTGACGATGGCTTCACTTCACGGACAGCGTCAACTACTTTTCACTACACCATAGTCAATTCCCCAAGTACAAGTAGTGATGTCTCATTGTCGTTAGAGCCCGGGTATTTCTCCAGTTGCTTAATGCACTCATCCCGCCCACCCACCCACCTACCCATCCATTCATTGAGAGTCCCAAACCCATATCGTACAAAGATGGTCAACATATTCGCCTCCCCAGTGAAAAACGCCTGCCCTGTTGTGCCCCTTGTCGGGTTCCATCTCTTTCCTTCTCTTTATTTTCATTACTGGGCTCCATAAAGCCCTGTCGTTTGTTGTGTCTCTTATAAGAGTCACTCAGTTGTTTCTTGTTTCCCATGATCCCAAATCCATGGCATCCATTGGTCCCATGTTCATCAAAGCCCTTAAAACGCCCTCGCCCACTTGCGGTACTCCGGTTTGTCCTTGAATATCCCATCCGTCTGGCATCGTAAACGCTCCGTTCTGATCTAGACCAGCCGGTATCGTAAAGCCAGATGGGTCTGCAAAGAATCCTTGTGTGTTTCCGTCAAGCACGCCAGTGTTCATCATTGTCTGGTTCGGTGATATTGGGCTCGTGTTGAAAGAGTTGGGGTTCGATCCGTTCAGCTGTCCGGGAGCCAAGTGGCCTCGTTGGTCAGATCCTGTGCTCGAGTTTGGTGTCGGTCGATTCGGTTGTACTCCATCTGGTGATCCTGATGCGTCCTGGCCGTCTCCTCCAAGATCCCCAAACCCTGACATTGGACCGCTTCCAGTCCCGTTCTTGTCATAGGTTGCTCCGGAGCTTGGCGTGAGAATGGGTAACTGCTGATCAGGTGAAATCCATGTCTGGCCACTGAAGCTCCCATCGCCAGCTGTCCCCATGTTCTGTCCATCTCCACCAATGTTGGGTTCCACAATGTCGGGGGCTCCTGCTGGATTTCCATCGTCGCCGGCCATCTTCATGAAGTGGCATTCATTGCGATACGCGAGAATGCCCTGAACACCTTCGGGGTTGTCGCACCTAGGCGCACTAGGAGATCCCGGATTCTTCGCCGACGGCTACTGAAAGTTAGCAAGTCGTCCTCCATCACACTTGACTTCAACCTACGCTATCGCTGTTGCGTGGGAACGCAGTCTTGAGCTTGGGGATCCTCAAAGCAAGGGCCTCTAGATCGACGTCGAGCTGGACGAGGAAGGATTCCGTCAGGGGGTTCCGTCGTTTCAGTGCATTCATGGCTGAAAGCAGGAATCGGAGCGAGTCGGCTGTTTGGCTATCGTCGGGTCGGCTCTTAAGGTACTGCACAAACACTCGTGCCGACACGTAGAGGCAGAAGGAGATAAAGGGGTTCACCTAATTCGTCAGTCTCCAAAACAGAACCCATGGCCGTCCAAACTCACTGTTGAGAGGTCCATGTGAGAAATCATTCGCATGATACTGGCAATTTCGTTTGCCGCTGTAATACATCGAACCTTGCTCTCTGCGCTAACCGACGCTGGAAGCTTGTTCTTTTCCGCCTTGAAGATGGCGGCTTGGTGCAGGCAGATGGTCGAAGTGTGGATGCTCATGTTTGTAAAGACAATATTGGGGTTCGACAAGCCTGAGGGGAGTTTGAGTTGAGGGGGTAGACAGAGGGATGTGTTGAGAAGGATATTGTCCATCTGGCGATGACGCTTCCAGAATGGGCCGTTGAGGTCGTGGTCGAGATCGTCAACATCAGGACGATGCAGATGTACCAAGTTTCGTCCGAACAAGCAGGCCATGAGAACGATGCCTCCATAAGGGGACAGTTTACCCGCTCCCATCGGACTGGTGCATTCGCTCAACGACTGTGTCTGCTCAGGCCTGCTCATGTTGAAAGCTTCTTCTGACGAGGGAAGGTTGGTCATGATGTCGCGCTCGTCGATTGTCATTGGCCAGCCGGTGCCGATACTGGCATATCGATCTTGGCAAAATGCCATCCAAAATGTTCGACGACGCTCTTCTCTCTCAGTCCAATCTTTCGGGGGCGCAAGACATTGCTTGACGTCGAGGCCAGTGCCATCTAGTCTATGAAGACCAGTCCTATCATTTCTTAGCACAAGTCATCAATATCAAAAGAATCCGGAACCTACATCTGAGCGAGACGAATAGCAGAGCCCGTATTCACCCAGGCTCGGGGGAAGTACATCATCTTCATCTCATACGACGACAGCAGAATATGCGTCTGGCAATGAGCGATCGAGATCATGTGTTCTCCGTAGCCCTTGACGTAATCCGCCTCGACATACTTGCGTGCTCTCCGGTAAAACAGATCTTTCAGATCTGCATACTTGTCTGTGATGGTGCATGCCAGGGTCCACATGGCATACCGCAGACAAACGGGTGGGCGCTGGTTCGGCGCGCTGCACATGCAAGGTCAGTACGCCTCAACGTGTTGAGGAGGGGCAGCGCAACGGTCAACGTACAGGTTCATGGCGGCGAGGTATCGGTACTTGTGGATCATGGGGATGGACGGGTGAACCTTTTCAAAGTAGATCTGGTGAAGCTCGTCAATCGTCTCCTGGGGCGGCAGAGGCTCCTCGAGGCCCAGACCGATCATCTCCCAGGTAAAGGTGCCGCCGACATTGTTCATGCCGCCCATGTTCATGCTGGCATTAAAGTTGAAATCCTCGATGGCGCCTGTCTGCGGCGACTCTCCATTGAAGTTCCATCGATCCATATCGCGATCACCCGCCAAGCCCATGGTCGCATTCGGAATGTTGAGGTTAGCGGGCGACGTCGTCTGAGGCGGCGCGGGCATGGGAACGTTGAGGGTCTTTGGCACATTGGTAGGCGGCTCTTGGGTCTTGAGCAGTGTCTCGACTTGCTCTACAGATCGCGGCAGGTCAGCAGGTGAACAGGTCGGCATCAGGACGGGAGAAGGGCTCACTCAGTCGCTCCTCGAGGGCCTTGACATAGCCGCGCTTGGGACCGCTCTTTCTCCTCTGCTCATCGTAGGCGCAGGCGTGTCCCAGGCGAGAACAAGTGCTGCAACTGGGACGAACACCATCACACTTCAGCTTGCGCTTCCGGCATATCATGCATGCCAATCGCTTTGGCTTGGGGACGCTTGAGTTGTCCGGGACGGTCTCTCGGGAAGGCGCGGTGTCGTCTTGGTCAGTATTGGGGCTCCTGGGGCGCTTCTGGCCGGCGCCAGTGCCGGTGCCGTTGTCGGGCGAATCCGTCATGACGATAGGTAGGCTTCCTTCAACAGACGGGACTCGAGGGGCGGTGGATGATGGAGGGGCTATGAATGAGAAGCCTTGCAAGGCCAGTGGGGGTGGTTGGCCAGGAGGAGGACTCGACTCGAGACGGGGACGGGAGTCGCAGGGCGGGCACGACGAGGGTCCCGCTCCTTCCGGAGGAGGTCGGGAAAAAGCGAAGACGGCGAGAAAAGAGTCGGATGTGATTCAGGGCCAGCCGGACGGGGAAGGGGACAGGTTGAAATGGGGGGAAGCCGAGAAAGACCGGCGGCGATGCGGATCACGGAGTATGAATGTTTAAAAGGAATGGGGGGGGGGGAAACCAGACGAAACAATGCGACCAAACTTGAGACTGAAAGTCGCATGTGGAGCTTTGATAACTAAAAGCCGGTTAACCCCAACTGTAGCTTAGCGGAGGTAGAGTATGATTTTCTCAGTGGGGATCAGAGGGTGCGGTGCCGCGATGCGCTGGCTGCCTGGCGCTGAGGGATGTCGATTCAGGCTCGAGCAGCCCTACCGGAAGGCTATCACAGCACCTGCAGGGGTCTAGGGGTCCTTTTGACGGGCTACTTTCCTGTGTTCTGAGGGGATGTGCGGGTTGTATGGAGGGGATGAAGCAATTATTAATCATCCATGGCCAGTGCAGATCAAGACACCATCTCCCCTCAACAAATGGATGCCTCGAACAAGTCAAGTGCACGGTTATTAGTACCCAACAATACGGCATCCGAGTTTTCATCTTGTCCACCCGCGCATAAGTTATCAATCAATCATCCCGAGTACGATTTCATACATGCTGATACCCTACATCTCCCCAGCATAGCCACACGCGTCGCTTGCTTCCGAAGCTCCCACCTTGCTAGCGGCGCCCAGGGATGCAACCGGGCGGCCGACTCGCAGCTTCAATTAACCTTTCACCTAGCCAAATGACACCAATGGCTGCGAGAGAGAGACCTGGCGCTGTGACGAGGACCCGGTACAGCAAGGTCACTGCCGAGCCTAGCTAAGACAGAACACAGCGAACGATTCTTTCACCGTTTTAATCAAGTAATAACCGTCATACTGTTCTGCTGAAACGCGACATAATAGACGTCGTGTCCAGGTTATGCTTAACGGGTCCTTGGTAGACTCCGACTTGCCGGATGCCCGGCATCTCGTCTACTAATACAACTCGCATCAGGCACTCAGCCTTGTTGACGCGTCCTTTATACAACCTACAATTAATTCCGCCCGTTAAGCGAAAACCCCTCATCGATACTGATTTTGCTGTTACAGTGTACTAGGTAGCCCTTTGTTGTCGTCATGATATGTGCTCGTTGTTGATTATTGTTCGTGAACTTTTTACATGGCCGCATGTTCGAGGCCATAACAAACATTACAGAATAACAACGTCTTGCATGTTATTCCCCCTCTTGTTTGTTTTTATCCATCACAGAATTAAAAAAGAAAGAAAAAACCTGGTATGAAGGGAAATGCGGTCAACGTCCTCGTGTGTTCACCTTCAGCTCGGACATGATCATGACCCTCCCCCTCATGGATCTCTATCAACCCTGCAAACTCGTTGCTGGAGTGAGTGCTCATCTACCAATCACTATTCTTGCACTGCCTCATCCAAGTTGAGAAAAGCCCATCTTGCCCATTCCAGTAACATGGCCTTGTCCCCCTTAAGGAGGCCACCTTGACAGAAGGGAAAACACCCTACAGCAGCTTCATACAATAATGACCTGTAATAGCACAACACGACTGGGTATGGGTCGAGCATGAATTATGCCTTGTTAATTTCCCGTCGAGAGACAGAATGCCAATTGTTTGAGGCGGCGCCATCCTCTAAATATAGGCACATGCCAGAGCCCAATTTCAACGTCACATCCAATAACTCTCTGGCATTCACTTTAACGTGTCTCACGCGTACAAGGTAGGAAACATGAGAGTAAGCTCATAATAACCGTTTTGAACAATTTAGACATCAACCAGAGTAGAGCGGCTGATTTCTCGTTTATCTCGCTTTCAAGGTGGCGATGCAGATACTGCTCACCCTCCAATGTCGTCGCTCGGTGTCCCTTTACCCCGTCTGACACCAGAAAAGTGCCTGTATTGACCAGCAATGGACGAGATCCAGCTCAGCTCTGTTTCGAGGATTCACCTCAAAAAGACATACACCGTCGGTCTCGCACGAAGCCGCCATGTTTGCCCCAGTCGTGACACTACCGAGATCGACAAGTTCGTGGCTCCTAGAAATCTTACTCAGATGTATTCGAATCAGCCTCGAGAAGCAAGAAAACAGGCTCTCTATTTCCTGTCAACGTCAACCCCCACGATCCGAAGAATCCCCAGATCGCTGTAAGCAAGGCAATATCGCGTCGGTGCCCAAGCCACCACAGGGCAGGCCCCTGCCGTCTTGAAAGTGTGAACGTGTTCCCCAGTTTCAACATGAGAGATCTCGAGGCCAGAACCTGGGTTGATCGTGCAACGTTAGCATGAGTCCTTATCCTCCGTGGTGTCAACTGGCAAATGCTCCTTACCTTCGTCACTTCCTCCCACCACGAAGCTTCCATCAAACGTGAAACCTAAGAGTCGACTAGTTAGATAGATGCGACGCTCGGCGTTAACATGGTAGACCTACTTAGGCTTCGAACTGGCCCGACCATCCTCGTGATAGTCCTCTGACAGATCCAATCCGTCGTATCCCACAGCGCAATGATCGAATCCGAACCACCGGTGGCAAGATACCGTCCTGTCGGCTGCAACTCAGCCGTCAAGCATGACGACGTGTGCCCATTGAGTTGGAATTCCTCAGACTCATCTCCGTGGTTGGTATGGAGAATAGGCTCGAAACCTGGGTACGAGAGGACTCGGATACGCCCCTCTGCTGTCGTCGCGAATATCTTCTCACCGCTCCAGCAGAAGGCGATTTGGTTGGTTTGCACATGTTGCTGGTGGGAGCTGATGGGCGTAGCTTGAGTAGGCGACAAGACATAAATGGTGTCGGCCTGATAGCATAGTTAGCATCCACTGTAGCTTGCTCAGATGTCTCCAGCCGACCTTGTTTCCAACTAGGAGTGTCTGTCCGTCAGGAGCCCAGACAAGCGTGAATGCATCTCCAAGACCCTTAACTTCGTTGAAGCACGCCTTTGTCCGCACATCCCAGAACTTGACTACGCCATCGCTGCTCACGCTGCATAGCTCTGCATCCTTGGTTGGGTTGAAAGCAACCTTTTCGATAGAAGACGAGTGGCCTTTGAGCTCTGTTGAGAACTTAACATGGGGCTTCTCAGGGTTCCCTGCATCATTTAGTATTGATCTTGACCCTGTGTCTGAGCAAAGACATTGATTTGGCCAACTCACACACTCTTAGGACCCTCTCTGACGACCCTGTAGCCACCAGGGTTCCGAGCGGATTCCACGCGATACACCGTAGACTACCATCAAGGTCAGCAGATGCACAAAGGAAAGGGAGCCTAGCGCAAAGTCATCCATCTGGAACGCACCTGTTTGCACTCACGCCTCGCGAGCTGTTCGGGTCGTTGTATGGCTGACTCCGGAGGTTACTAAAGTAACTCGAAAATTTGTCCTTGGACAGACTCTGTCTGGCCCGGAGGACGGGCGCCATCTTGGAAGACCGTGTCAACCACCCAATGGCTTTCTGTGCTAAGCTGGGCCTCGCGTTTAGCCTGCAGATTGCACTGGATTGTTGTCAAATATACGGGAGCAACGTCTATCCGAACGGAATTAATACATCGGCCCCGCAGCCACGTTTGGGTATGATGTCTTAGAAGCTTTGTTGTATGCAGGATGCCGTAGAACTGTGGTTCGAGGTAGCTCAGAGCTACTGGCTAGTAGTCATTCCGCTTGTGGGTGGTGCTCGTCGCACAGGCCAGTACCCGAAACAGGCCATAATCAGGTGGGGCTCGCACGGCATTGGGAAGCCTTGGCGTGCGATGTTTACATGACGCACGTGCATATTTTGGTGTATCCAACGGCAACCACTTCATTGTTCATGAACCTCAAGTCTAGACCCAATGACATCCTCACTTTGCCTGAAGCGGCCAGCACGAGTCAAAACATTCTTCGTAATAGAGCAAGGTATCGCTCAAATGTAAACTTCATTCCGACTGTGTCGGCTCCTTCCGTCTTCCGGTCATGGTATATGTACAATTTTCATTCACGGGTACTTCCCAAGACAACAAACAGCCAAGATGCAACGAGAGCCATCCAGAGACGTCCCACAGTTGAGCCATTGACAAGACAATCTTCCTCCAATCACCAGGCGCAAGCGTAGCGCAGCTCAGCTCAGCTCGTCAACGGTCCAGTCGCGGACAGATAGCTTCCATTACTCCAGGCCAGGTGCCCTAAGAAGGCGTAGCCCAACTCCAACCTGCCAAATCATGCCCTGAACTTCCTTCGCCCGTGACTCCGTGCGCCATGTATGAAGCCGAATTCCTTACAACAGCAGTGTTCAATAACCAGACAATCGAAAAATGCAATGCTGTCCATGTAGCAGACAGCGAGAATGTGAATCCAGAGGCAGTGGGAGCTCTTTAGCGCCCCTCATCGCCCCATTGGTAAGTGTCGAGGTATCGTGATGGCCCGTGACCAAGCGGGCGTTGGGTGTGTATTAACGTCATAAGCCGCCCATGAGACATAATCCAGACAGAAGCATGTATCCTAACTTCCAGGTTGCCCGAGGGGGAGGGGGCGATCGAGGTTGCCAAGTGTGGAGGGTGTTCATGATATTTGATCAAGGGTCAGCTCGATGTCGTCGATGCCGAAAAGAACAGCGTTCTTCTTGGCCCATTGGCGAGAGAGGATGGACGCTGCAAGAACATGTCAGTAAGCTTCATTGGGGAGGGGTATATCAAGGAGACATACACTTCAAGAACTTCTTGCTAGCATACTTTTTAAAGAATGCTTCGTGGACGACGGGACGAGCGAGGTAGTCAACCATGAGGTTGACAACAGGCTCAATCTCATCCTCGGTATAGCCAGCGTAGTATGAAAGGGTCTCGTCCTGGAAAGGAGTTAATCTCAACTGCATGCATCAAGGTGGGTCAATGTTTGTTTACATACCCATTCACCACGATCAAGGAGGAGTCGCGCCAGGTACATAGCACCGGCGGCAACGTGGCTTGGTCGGTAACGCATGAATCGGTGGTCCAGAAGACTGATCTCCATGAGGTACTTGCCGATGGTGCGAGATTGGATGTCATAGTTGTCCGCCTTCGAGACTCGTCGTAGGAAGTTCATTGGGTTGGGGTAGCTGAGGTCATAGTTGAGGGTGCTGAGAACAAATCGCTCGGCGCTCAGAATCTCAGCCTCGCTAAAACCATCGTCCGCGATGCGCTTAAAGTTCTCGACGTGGGGGGAAAGAACCTCCTCGTACTTGGAGGCAATGAACATGGCCGTGATTCCGACAAGCTGAAGGCGGTCAAGCTGGACAACCTTGGCAGACAGGAAACGGTCAATGATGTTGACAGCCAGGAAGAGAGTTTCGGGAAGGAGGTGGAAGCGGGTGTGAACCTCGACGAGCCAGTCGACCAAGATACCGCGCGTCTTCCATTCGAGGTCGTCCTGGTGGTCCATGTAGTCAGGGTTGGGGATGGACTTGACCTCGAGGTCTCTCAGGTACTCGAAAATCTCGTTGGCGTACTCGGCAACCATCAGGGGGTCCTCAAGATCCTCACTGTCCAAGTCCTTGACACCAGGAGGGTACACCTGTCCATCCTTAACCTCGGGCTCAGCCTGAGCAACGGGCTCGGCCTTTACGACCTCAGGCTCTTGGGGCGTCTCTGATCTCTCACGCTCGGGAACTGAAGGCTGCTTGTTCTCGTCGACGGGAGCCTTGGGCTTTGTGGCGAGGGATGCGGGGGCCTTGGGCTTCGCAGCAGCCTTGATAGTACCATGGCCAGATCGCTCTGTCTTGCCGTTGACAGGCTTGGGGTTAAGAGCAGTTCGAGTGGATCGCGAGGTCTTCTTCTCGATACCGGTAGGCTGAGCAGCCTTGGAGACCAACCCCGCCTTGGCCTTCTTTCCAGCAACACCATCTGCCTTTCCAACATTGCTGACATCGCCTAATGCGGCGCGTTTCCGTGTGTTGGTGGTGCCAGCACCGTTAATTGTGGACTTTTTCGTTTGGAGAGTGGCCTTGGAGGCAGTGGCGAGCTCATCGACTTTGAGAGCGGCGGCCTGCGCCCGTGTAAGACGCGTCGTACCGCTGTTCTCGTCGTTCTCTGTGCCGGCGAGGCGGGTACGAGCAACACGACCCTGCTGAAGTTGAGTTAGAACCATTGAAGGCAAACCAGACACTTCTGGTCGCGTTCCACCACATACCGGAGGCATCTTGAAGGTCTAGCTGTTGTTGACTGATGAAATAATAGCAGAAGTGGGTGCTGTGAAAAGCTATCAGTTTGACGCGTCGACGAGAGAAGGTGAAGAAAAAGATGGCTGAATTGTCGACAGTAAATAGAAACAGGCGTCCATTTACTGAGACAGTCGAGTCAGAAGAGGAATTCGGCGACTGACCTTCCTCTATGAATGGCCGATGCAGCACCGTGAAAGGAATGGTGTGCCCGGTGTGATGGCAGATATGGGTGTAGGGCTGATGCAAGCTGTGAGATGTGTGAGTCGAGCCGCGACGCAAGGCTTGTATGATCAAGCAAAGATGATGCAAGGAGGGTGCAAAAACAAACGGGCGAGGGGAGATGTTTATGTTGAAAAAGACAAAGGAAGGTTGGATGTGAAGGATGATGTTGTTTTGGAGCGGACGGGAGCGGAGCAGACAGGGAAGTGGGCCACCTTCGCGCGGGCAGGCGCGATGCGTGGGTAGGTACGTACCTGCTAGTCGCGTTGCGTTGCTGGTTGCTGGTTGCTCCAAGGCCAAGGACCCACACCTTGCACTGGATGCAGAGGGATAGGTCAAGGCTTTTCGAGGACGAGACGAGACGTAGGTGGATAGACGCGCGAGGAATTTGCTTGCTGGTGCCCAATATGCAAATGGGAAAGGACGTTGAGGACTGGTTTGATTTGGTTGATGGGCGGAGGCCGTGACCGTGAATGTTAACTGCGTGGCAGACTGGGAGAAAGAAGAAGGAACAACAGGCCAGGATGATGCGAAACGAAAAGAGTACCTAGGTAGGTTGTAGAGACGGATGGATATGGACGGACAGACACAAACCACAAGCGACGGACAGGAAGCGGCCTTGATTTTATTAGGCGGGCTGGAGGCTGGTTGAGCAGGAAAGAATAGCGCGACTGCCCCGGGCGCGGCGCGGAGCACCAGAAAACGGACGTGCCTGCTGGGGCTAGCGACATGTCTCTGTGGTAACCGCCGGGCAACTCTTCTATCATTGGCAGGAGCCTCCTCGCGGTGCGCACAGGCCATGGTGGCTAGTCGCGAGGTCGACGCCACAGACACGTCTGGCGAGTAGTGGCGGTGCACGTCGGCCGAAGACAGACGACAGCCCTCGGATCAAAGTTATTGGTGATCCGAAGAAATTTCCATGTCTGGACCTTGCCGGTTGGACGACAGACAACCGCACCTGGTGAGCCTGACGTCTGCCCGTGAGCTCCAATCTTGTCTCGACATTGCTCTGAGGGACATTGGCCGTTCGGGAGAGTCTTTTCGTTAGCCAATGCCTCCGGGCTGCTCTTTGAACGAGCTCCATCACCCAATTCAAGGTAGCTAGTTCCCTTTCTCCGCCGAGCAAAACTCAAAGTCACCCCTCACAAACCACTCAACTCGGCGCCAATGGGGTCATATTGTTAGGATTTTCTAATAATCTGTTAGACCGAGACTGAAGATGCTTCAATCCGGCCTTTCCCTCGCCGCTGCGAGGCAGAGCGCTCTGCGCCTGGCCCTCAATCGGTCCCTACCCCGATCATATGCGACTATCAAGCGCTTAAACGAGACCACCGCGGCCGCCACTACCGATGCTGCAGAGAGACCTACCGGTCAGTCTGCTATTCTACGGACCTACAAACCCCGAACACCTGGTGTGCGACATTTGAAGCGGCCAATCAACGACCATCTCTGGAAGGGACGTCCTTTTCTGCCATTGACTTTCCCCAAGAAGGGTCAGTCCAAGGGTGGACGAAATGTGTCTGGAAGAATTACTGTACGACATCGTGGTGGCGGTGCCAAGAGGAGAATAAGAACGGTCGACTTCATCCGGAACCGGCCAGGACCTCACTTGGTGGAGCGCATCGAGTATGACCCTGGACGAAGTGCGCACATTGCTCTTGTGACTGAGCAAGCCACCAAACGCTACACTTATATCCTCGCCGCCGAAGGTCTCCGATCTGGAGACATTGTTCACAGCTACCGTGCCGGTATCCCTCAGGACCTCCTCGACAGCATGGGTGGTATTATCGATCCCGGTATTCTCGCTGCCAAGACAGCCTTCCGTGGCAACTGTCTCCCCATGCACATGATTCCAGTTGGTACCACAGTCTTTGCCGTTGGCTCAGCCGCCAAGCGGGGCGCTGTCTTCTGCCGCAGTGCTGGAACATCGGCCGTCGTTGTCAACAAGAACGAAGAGACAAAGGATGATGGAACCAGGGTCATGACTGGCAAGTACGTCGAGGTCCGACTCCAGAGTGGCGAAGTGCGCCGGGTCAGCAAGGATGCCTGTGCGACCATTGGTGTTGCCAGCAACATCCACCACCACTACCGACAGCTGGGTAAGGCTGGACGAAGCCGATGGCTGAACATCCGCCCCACGGTTCGTGGTGTTGCCATGAATAAAGGTAAGGAACATGCATCACCGATTGTGGCACAGAGGCTAACGTATGTGCAGTCGACCATCCTCACGGAGGTGGTCGAGGTAAGTCCAAGGGTAACCGTCATCCCGTCAGCCCTTGGGGTGTACCGGTAAGATCACCATCTGATAGCGAGACGTTTCATGCGTTACTGACACGGCCTTACAGACCAAGAGTGGTTACAAGACTAGACGCAAGCACAACATCAACAAGTGGGTTGTGGTACCTCGACCTCGAAACCACGGCAAGCGACGCGACAAGGCCAACTGAGTATAAGCACCAGAGAGGCGCAGAGCGGCGAGGCGAGCAAGAGAGAGCAGAGCACACGCAGAGTTGTGGACGAGATGAGCGCCGGTGCTTTGTATATTATGACGCTGCATTGTACCATATGTGACATTATAGACGAAGGCGCAATGTGCGTTTGATGAATGAGCATGCCAGACCTCTCCATTTGGTACTATTGACGGTACGATGAGATACTGGCTCAAGGGCGCGCAAGTCACGGGATGGCTTGTGGCCTTATAACTGGGGTGACTTAAGCTGCCTTGGGGATATTATCACACTAAGTGATGGGATGGTGCTTCCGAGGAGAACACTGCTCTGTGATTTAAATCGAGGCGTTCTTAGTTGAGTAGGTTCTGAAGGCCCTCGTGAGGGGTTCATGGTCTCCCGAAGGATACGTCGTACTCTTCCTAAAGATTTGAAGGTGTATGTATACATGTTGAGTCTATGAAAACTGAAACGAAGATCGTGTTTGGGGCATATGATTTGGCTGATATCAGTGTTCACCTCCAACGACATTGGTGGCCTCAAGGCAGGATGGGTTACCTCCGCCTTGTTGTACACTTGCATCCATCAAGATAAGTATTGCGACTGAAACACAAATTTAGAACCGAGTTGACTCAAGATGTTGAGGCTGAGCTCTTCGTGAAGCCTCCTTGAGAAAAGCCTCCAAGTGTCACAGTATGTACACAGGCTGAGCAGTCCGCAAGGCCAGGCTGTGTGATGTCTAGTGTGAACATCAAGGTTGAGGATCGGATGAATGAAGAATGGGGGACATAAATTATGAGGAGGAGAGCCTAGGAAGAGATATGATAACAACCTTGGCTGTGCCTCGAAAGATATCCATTACAGTCAACCCAATTGGACAGAAGACGGCAGATCAACCAAGTCCAAAAGTCGTATTTGCGATATTGTCGGCAGATATTCGAACAGCAAAACCGAATTCATGCCGACCCCTGACACGACAAAGACCCCTTCACCGTGGTTACAGCGTTTCAGTAGTCAAGGACCACCGTCGGTGGGCAATCAGGACAAGCAGCATGGGCCAGCCAGGGGTGGGCTTGTTGTTGGCCTGAAACAACACTCGTCGATTTCTGAATGCCAAACCATCATGCACCAATGCATCAGATAGTACCAAGAAGTTGCACGTGTGCCGTTTTATCCTTACGAAAGGACGAACAGTCGGTTAAGGAGAACCTGATGATTCCAGTAGATGCCGCCTTTGCCGTCTAGGCCATGGTTAAGCATCAGCATCGCTCCACAGGGCAGATAAAAAAAAAATCCATCAAGTAGCGGGCCTGGGCTGTATCCGTACTCCGTATTGGCAATTAAAAAATCGGCACACGAGGTAGCGAATGACAGAAGACGCCGATGGAGTGATTAGTAGGGGCAAGCATGCGCCGAAAAGCCACTTGAGATGGATGGTTTGCACAGCCTCGCCAGGCCACGTAACGCTTACCTCTCCACAGCCCATTAACAACCCCTGGCAACCTGAAGAGAGACACAGATAGTCGGCTGATGGGAGCGAAAAAGGCTGACAGAGGATATCGTGGCGTAGACGAGGCAGAGTCTTCTCAAGCTGAGTAGTCGCGAGGTCATGATAAACATCAATGATTTGCCGCCTCGTAGAGGATAGCCGCTGGGGGATGGATGTCTGAATTGGGTGTCGCTGACGTAGCCCTAGGCGGGCAGCAAAAATTAAGGTTATTAGTCATTTCCGGCACATCACTGGATGAAGCATCTCAGCCTCGGAAGCCCTGGGAACTGAGAGATGAGCGCAGATCTTGGGCAGTTTGGCATTAGAGGAGAGAAAGACGGAGATGACGGATCGGCACGGCAGAGACGAGTAACGTCAGCCAGCATTGAGTAGTTTTCCGTGGTTCTGTGGTAGATTGTTGCTCTTCCTGGGATAATGGGGCGCCGGTGACGGGGGTGAGCTACAAGCGCTTGTAGTGTACCTTGGGCGGGGAGTGTGATGGTTGGGGGCTAGGACACGTGCGGTAAAATATCGTCGCTGGCATTGCCAATCCATTCCTCGATGGTCTCAATGTTGGACGAGAGTAAGGCCGACGAGCATCGCGATTTCTCTTGCCATCGCAAAACTGCTTACCTACATAGGTAATGGATGAGGTGAGCTGGACTAGTGCTAGTTGACTGCTGGCGCGTGCTGAGGCGTCGTTCAGGTGCCAAAACGGGCTCTGCCTCAGTAAAAAATTGCACTGACAAGCACTAGGAGAGTTGTACCGACTTAGCCCGGCAGGGGCTGCACCACGCGATCAGTTCCCCAATAAAGGCTGAGTTGCGCCACTCACAGCGCTTGGTTAGTGCTCCACACCACAGCGTCATAGCCTCCCTGGTAGGAGCGGTACTTGGGAGGGCCTGGCCTCATGCGAGACCCTTTGACGACACAAGCGCGCGCATGTTCAAACAAAAGAGGGACAATTCGAGGAGAAAAGGGGTGTTGAAATGAGTAAAAAGAGGATAATGTCCAATAAGATGAAGCATGACTTTACACAGAGCAAAAAAGCAGTTCCTCGTACAAAAAAGCCAAGCATAAAATCCTACCTCCCTTTTCTTGGCACCCTTAGTCCGAGCCTGAGCCATGTACCTCTGTCTCTGTCTGACAGACCCCCCCCCCCCGCTCCCAAGTCCACGTAACCACCCAATTGCAGCCCCATCTTTAACTTCCCCAAGTTTCCAATCCCTCCACCGACTAGCGACCGCGAAAACGAAGAGCCTGAAAAGAGAGACCGCCCCGATCCCCGACCCGCGAGGCGACAGCACGCGCGCGACAGACACTCTGAGTTTGGTAGATCAGCCGCCGAGAGCCCCGTACTCCGTTTTCCCGTCTCTACTACCCCTGGCAGCTCGCTCGCTCTCAAACGCCCTTGCTATCATACACCCCCCCAGACCCAGACGCACCGTTGGAGACCTTTATTGCCCTGAGGGCCGATAGAAACGGGGAGTGCGTGTGTGACGAGGCCAAGACTGGTGTGAAGCGAAAGAAGCAACAAGACGAAAGTCCAAGCTTTCAAATAACCTTAACACGCCCCCCCTCCTCCGATCCGATCTCCTTCTTCTTTCTCAACCATGCACTCGTACGTCAAGATGGCAGACACGGGTATAGGGAAAAGCTTCAGAGGCCGTCGCCTTCCGTTAAGGCTCATCTTTTCATATCTCTTTGACTGGATCGTCTGCTTGGTCTTTGCTGGAATCGGCGCCGTCTTTGACAGACTATCACCAGCCAAGCGACCATTTTCTCTTGTTGACCCTAGTATCTCGTGAGTACTCGAAGCATAATCGACATTCGCATCCAAAGCTAACATGGTGCAATAGCTACCCATTCGAGGAACATGAACTCGTCCCTGCCTACCTCCTCTTCACCCTCGCCATCGGCGTCCCCATCGTCATCGTCGCCGTCGTCTCCTTGATCTTCGTCCCCGGTCCGACCGTCCCTAAGGGCACGCCCGCCGCCCTCATCTGGCAGCGCAAGCTCTGGGAGCTTCACGTTGGTCTGCTGGGTCTCGTCCTCTCCCTTACTCTGTCATGGTTCTTCACCAGCACCATGAAGAACCTCTTTGGAAAGCCCCGTCCCGATATGCTCGCCCGCTGCGAGCCTGACTGGGATAACCTCAAGAATCATATTGTTGGTGGCTTCAGCTGGGGCAGCATGACCGGCCAGCTCGTAGACGCCGGTATTTGCCAGCAGAAGGACGAGTACAAGCTCAACGACGGCTTCCGTTCATATCCCAGCGGCCACGCCTCTACCGCCGCAGGTGGTCTCATCTACGCCTCGCTCTTCCTCGCCAGCAAGTTCTCCGTCACCGTTCCCTTCGTCATGCCCTCGGCTGCTTCTGCCGCTGGAGCTTCTGGGGCTGCTTCACACGCCGCCTTCCCCTCGCGCCTTGTTCGCTCCGAAATCGACCCCTTCGAGCCGACTCGCGGTCGCGGTTTCGACGACGGCTCTGCCTCCGCTTCGCTGGCTAAGGATTCTCCATTTGCTGAAAATGCCGGTCAGCACAACGCCAAGGTCCAATCCCTGCGACGCCAAGCCGCTGCTCCCCCGGTCTACCTCCTCGTCTTGGGACTTTTGCCCTTTGGTGTCTCCATCTTCATCGCCGGTTCGCGTTGGCACGATCGCCGTCACCACGGCTTCGATATCCTCTTCGGTTATCTCATGGGACTCATCGCCTCCATATTTGCTTTCCGCTACTACCATCTTCCCATCCGAGCCGGTGCAGGTTGGGCCTGGGGTCCCCGTAGCGACGAGCGCGCCTTCTGGGCTGGCGTTGGTCGTTTGGGCTATGCTGGAACCGACGAGGAGCTGGCTATGCCATCCCGACGGCCGACTCAGGGTGTCACGGCTGATACTTCATATCCCATGACATCTGCTCTCGCGCAGCGCAATGTGCGCCCTCCTCGCGATGAATCGGCAGATGAGCCTCGACCCAGCCAGAACTTCCAGGATGTTGAGCTCCAACAGATGGACGACAGAGGCCGGCCAGAGAACAGGTTCCCAGAGAACAGGTTCCCAGAGAACAGGTTCCCCTCGCCTCACGACAACCGCGTGTAAAAGGATTCATGTCTAGAGCATGCGAATTTCTTCCTTTATTGTATGAAGGTTTATACCATGAGCGTTGTGCGTATTCCAGGGTATATCTGCGTACGGTTTACTTTTCCCTCCCTAGGATAAAGGGGCAAAAAAGTGGAAATCTTTATTAGATTCAGGGCAAACAAACTATTGTGTGTGTATGTGTGCATTGGGTGTGGTACGGAAAGCGATAAGCTTTGGGTAGTTTAGAATATTTTTGCTTTTATGGTACGACAGGCATGGCACGAACAATGAAATGACCGATTAATCAACTCGAGGCTTGTGTTGATGTACATTGTGTTCACTTGTGTTGTAACCCCTGAACAACGAGTATTCTTGTACCCCTATCCCCTGAAAGAGTTGACTTGAGTTGAGTTGAAATTGTCTCGCTATGGAACCAAGTAATAAACAGGCTGAAGAAATCAACATCGCTTCTTATTTAACAGCTATAATTCAAAAACCTATGTCGTACTCTGGTTTATACCAGCCAGCCCAGCCCAGCCCCCCATGTCTTGCCGCTAAACGCCGATCCAGAACCAACCAACAGCATAACAAGACGGAACCGAAGAGTCTTGAGAGCAGGGAGATCTATCCACGTGGATGTCAACAAGGCAGATGGACGAGGCTCTCTTAGACCAGCCTGGCTCGTCTTGCGCCGTGGCCTACTATCGCCAGCAGACGCTTGAGACAAGCCCTCGCTGCGAGACGTGCTATGTTCCGGCTTGCCATGCGTTGCCTTCTCCTCCTGGCCCTCAGTGGGCACCATCGTTCCTAGAGGCGCCGCATGAGGGTCATGCGAGCATCCATGGCCTCAGAGTCGTCCGAGTACTACTTCTCGACTTCCTGCCAAGTGCGTCCGAGGTACCCCGCGGTGCGCGGTCGCTCCTATAGGCCTTCCACAACAGCCATCCGGCCATCTATGCCTTCAAACTCGGCATCCTCTTCCTCATCATCCTCTTCCTCTTCCATCTCATCACGGAACCCCGTATCGATCTCGAGCTTGCGGAGCCGACGGCGCATGTCGTCGCGCTTGACGCTCTGCCAGCGGATCAGGGCGGCTGAGGCGTGGACCTTGAAGCCGTAGACGCGGGGGACGTAGCGGACGACGCTCTTGGTGGGGATGAGGGCCGGGTAGACCTGGAAGAGGATGTTGTGGAACGAGGTGCCAAAGTAGGCGCCGTCGATAGCGGCGTGGCGCGACGACTTGGGGTTGTAGATATCCTCGCAACGCGCGCAGTAGAGCTTGACTGGTTTGAGGTTGGACACGTCCGAGAGACCCATGGGGAGTAGGGGGTGCGAGTGGCACATGACGCGAGGGCATTTTCCAAATTCGGCCTTCTTATACTTGTCGAGCTGTTTTAGATGTCAGCAGTCGGTCTTGTATAAAGGTCGTTGAATATGTAGTACCATTTTTGTCAAGCCTCTTGTGGTGACAATGTACCGGGCATGCACGAGGCCATACAGGTGCCTCGCCGACTTCTCGATGGCCTCGCGCATCTCATCGTCGCACTCGAGGTCAAAAACATCGGTGACGAGATCCAAAGCATACTGGTAATACTGGACTTCCGTGTTAAGGCCCGTCAAGTTGAACCTGTCGGTGAGGTAGTCTTCGTCGATTTCGCAAAAGTACTCGTTGCCCCTCGAAGAGATGAACTGCGCACAAACAACATCCTGGTTAGCCCATGGATCAAAGAACAAAAAGAAGCCGTGCGTCGTCGTGTATTTTTTTTTCCTCCGACCCCGCCATCCTCGACAGCATTTCTTCCATCAAACAAATCCTTTGTCGTCGAGGATCGCGGCTGGCGGCGTCGAGGAAGCGCGTGAGACCGCACAATCGGTAACGACGGCCATTGACTATCCCAACCTATCACTCACCCAGTCTCGCCAATAGCTCGTGTAGTCGCTATCGGACTCACTAACGTAGTCATCCATCATATTGGGCTCGAGAGAATGAGAGCAGGAGAAGGAGGTTGATCAAAGGAGGCTCAAAAACGAGCGACCATCGCTCGGCGGCGAGCGAAACAACAGAACGGGGCTAGGACGTCGAAGGCGTAGGCAAGATTCGGCGGGCAGGAGGCGCAAGGCGATCGATATATGCGACGCTGACAAAAACACGGACAGGTCAAACGAGAGGCGTCGTAGTCAAGTCAAGCAAGATCAAGAGGCGTTATCTATTCCCTGCTGGTTTTGGTTTTGGCTTTGGCTGGGGCTGGGTCACCGTCGTCGCTCGTGGTCTGGGTCTGGGCTTGGTGGGGTTGCTCTGCTTCACCACCGAGACTTAACCTTGACGGAAAGGTGAGGTAACGTGACTGGGAGGGGTACGTACCTAAACACCATGGAATCATCACCACTTACAAGCACGACACCAAAGAAGCTGCAAGCAGAATCGTCATCTATAAATAACCCATCTACCTCTTTTGTAGCATCTACTAAAAGTAGTGGCAATAGTAACATCACATATCGCGATATGCAAGTCATGCCTAATCTCCCAGATACAAACCTACCCAGCCTGCTCCCAACATGACAAACTCCCATGGCTGAAAAACATTCCCGAAATATAATCCAAAGGCCGTTCCATCATCTACGGCGCGCTTATCGTTGAAGCAATACTGCCTCCGTCGCTGGCTGAGCGTCTATCCGACTCTGAGGTGCCGTCCTCATCACCGCTCGTCATTCCACTGCCTCCACCGTTCACTGTCCGTGTCGATGGAATCTGTAGCCGACTTCCTATGCTGTCCTGGGGCGAATCTTGTCGTAGCACCACCTCCACCATCCTCATGGCCTCTTGCAACGTCTCACCCGTCTCGTCCATGGCTGCCAAAAACCGGGCGAGCTCCTTGCATAGTTCCCAGTCTCCCTCCCGCATCGCCCGAGACAATAGTCGCACAGATTGTTCGGTTGACGAACCCAGTTCGTCCAATGTATGTAACACAATAAGATATCCTCCAGCCGTCTTCAGTGAGCCCCTTTGAAGGGATTCTTCAAAGAGTTCCTGCGCTGGAGGGAGGTACGCAAAGAGCGTCTTCCACTGCCGCACTTCAGTCTTGCGTGTGCACTGTAGCACAATGTCAAGATACTCCTTAAAGGACGACAGAAGTGATAGTACACGAGGTAGGACGGCGTCCGCAGGCTTCGGCGATGTGTCCACCTCTTCATCCAACACGCGATGTAGTAGAATCTCGAGGCCGTGTGCAAAGTATTCGAGTTCCTGGTACTGCTGGGCAAGATGTGCCGCCTCAACTGATCTACTTTGGCGAAGATAGAAGCGAAGCAGGTCTGGGAGTACGAGGTGTGTCTGTGAATGGTTAGCTGTGGCTCAGCAATGGTGAACAGTTAAACATACCCTGATTGTGAAGTGAAAATAGGAAAAGTTCACATCACGACGTTGGACCAGATCCGACTCGACTCCCAGCACGATGCCCTTCTCAAGAAGAACCGAGAGCGGATAAAAATCAACCGGTACCGACACTGGAGTCGGCGGCTCCCTGTTGTTATCCCCTGCGGCTTCAAGCACGTCATTAATGTTCGGCCACGCCTTGAGCTCCATCCCATCAAACACCCAAAGAGAATCTCGCAGAGCTGACGGTCCGTTCCGCGGAGGAGTGTCCTCCAACTGGCGATTGGCGTTTCGTAGTGGTTGGTCTCGCATGCTGGCATGGTATTCCACATTCTGTGCAATCACCCGCATGTCATACTTCAACTGGCCCTCGTCGTTTAATGAGGGCCGCAGCAGCACGAGCTTCCCGTCAACCAGAAAAATCACCGACGCCACTGCCACGTCTTGGGAAGGATCCCCGTCTGTCAACTGGGTATCCGGTAGTATCCAGCTCAAGCCTCGGACTCGAGCTGGAGATCTAACAATGCCATGGAAGGCAATCTGACCCACTTGAATGAGTCGTACCGAACCACCATGGGGTGTAAAGATAAAGTGGTATAATAGGTTCTCATATGTGTAGACGAGGAGCGAGTCCTCTCCAGAGGTGGTCACGAGCACCACCGGAGCCGGGATTGTTTGCTTATGAAGAATTTGAGACGAATCGAGTCCCGTCTCTCGAGAGAAGAGCCGCAGTTCAAATGTTCTGTTAGCCTCGACTGCGGCCACGAGGATGTGTTGATGCCAGCACATGCCTCCTCTGACCTGAAACTCGTTCTCCATCGCCTCGTTGGCAAACGTCTTCCATCGGCCGCTGTTGACGCTGTAATGAGCAAGTCCACGACGGCCGGCCACGGCAACGTATCGACCATCCGACGAAATGACGGTTTGCCGGATTGGCCACTGGTTCAGGAGATAAGTTGCAGGGATTTTTGCTGTATGCCACAGGAAGGGCTCTGCCGAGATACTAGTAAGATCCGGCACGTCGTAACCTCTGTAGACCATGACGCTTGACGGCGTCTGTAGTACTGTCCGGAAAACGTTGGCCTCGTTGTAACACCCAGTGACGGCATTCTTAGCCATTTCGAGTGACCAGATGGCTTCATGCCGGTGACCTATCATTAGAATCTCGGAGCCTCCCCCTACCCATGTAGCTCCAGAAACTCCAGAAAGCCACTCTTCTCCGTTGGCTCGAGACGCAGTCTCTTCTGAGCTGAAGCTATGGCTCCCAAGCTTTCCAAACATGCTCCAGGTTGACCATCCCTTTTTGAAACCTGCGAACAGGCAGTAACCATCGGGGGAGTAACTCAAGCTGGTAAAGGGGCCCGAGGAAGATGGTGATACAGGGATCTTGTGGGTATGCGAGTGAGGAATATTGCCAGAATAGTCCCGGACGGAATAGACTTGCACTGTACCATCGCAACATCCCACGGCAATGAGCGAAAACCGCGCGTTTATGACGGCTGCAACAGCACGGTCGTTATGACCTTTCGGGACATGGAAACAGTGACCTTTGAACAACCGTTTAGCATCCGCGTCGTCTCCCTGATTAGGGTCTCCGTGGTGATTGTAGCGCTGAACAGCATAAGCTCGCCCGCTGCTTGTGATCCAGGTGAGCAGATTCATAGGGCGATCATGCGTCATCTCGACAATAGTGGCCTTCTTCTCAACCCAACCCATCCGGCTGATGATCTCGGTCCTCGTCTGGCTCCCGGTACTATCGGGTGTCCAGCGAATGCATTGGACTGCAGCTGGTTTTCTGGTCGCTACAACCAACTCATCGTCGAGGGCCAGTGCACTTTCGATGCCAGCATCGACCTTGATAACCATCCTGAAGCGGACGCTCAGGTCGCGGACCCCTGGTCCCTCGCCAGCGCCCCATAAGATCTGCTCAGGAGGCAGCCCAGCGAGGCCTCCGATGAGACTCTGTCTTCGTCGCTGAACATTATGGTAGTTTGCGAAATGAGGTTTGTATACGCGCGAATCAGAATCGGTGGCTAGAGAGTAGGTGATGAGGTAGCCCTGGTCGGTGTGTATGACGAGAATGGCCGAGTCAGGTCGAAGCAACAGGTCGACATTCTTGCCGTATGTTTCGAGGGAATAATCGGATCGCACGACGACAGCGAGAATGACAGCGGGCTACATGGGTCAGTCATGCCGGCTTAGAGAAAATATGCCCTCATGGTCGCACCTTTGTCTGCCAGATGGTGATGGAGGTGGTTGTGATGACAGCGAACAAGTGCCCAGAGCGAGAGACCCGAAGAGCGAGAATAGGGTCTTTTATCGGTATCCCGTCGGCATCGGCGCCTTCCAGAGACGGCTGCGGTCGGCTCGTCGTGTAATCATCGTGCTCGACAGGTCGGACTCCTGGTGTCACAGGCGTTACAGGCGTCGGCGGGGGGAGGGAATCGAGATCATCGAGGGTGTGGCCGCGGGGTTGGGCGCTGGCAAGACCGGGTGAAGCGGTCAAACTGTCCTCGGAAGGGCTCGTGAGGCCATCGTTGGAGACGAATAGCTTGAAGGCGGGAGCTCGACTGCTGCTGGTAGCATGGATACGAGGAGTTCCAATGGGCCAATACATGGCGGCAGCTAGCTCCTCAGCTGGGTGTAGATGCGCAACGCTTCAAGGGCGCAGCGCTTCGATTTGAAATGTCGTGCAGCAGCAGGGGCTCAAACATGACCCTGTACGCTGGCTCGAGAATAGTCTCCCGGGGCCATTGGCTTGAGGTTTGCGCGGGAAAGGATACGAGGGAGGTTCCGTAGGTATGGATGGAGGTTAGCAGGTTATCTCAGTGTCGCGGGCCAGCTCCTGGGGGTGCTGTCATTGTACAGCCTCATTGGCGGTGATATGTCTCCGGTGGATTACATAAGTCGCTTGGCTTGATCCTTGCACCTTGTTCCTAGGTGTCAGTTCCTTCCTTCTTATCCTGGTCAATTAATGAATGTCGGTTGCTCCTGACAAAACAAAAACACATCAAACTCTACTGTACCTGCTCCGTGTATGTCAAAGTTCTAGATTCATCACTGCAGCGTGGCACCAAACTTTGCTCTCTCATCATCGATACTATTCTTAATAAATCAACAGTTATTGCTACTTGGCTCGTCTATCCCTCAAGATGCTTGTCCTTTTCTTATTAATGACCGTCCTTCATCTCCCATACCCGCGGATACAATGAAACTCCCTCCTGTGTTACCATTTTTATCGTCCTCCAAAGATCCTGCAAGATTAAAAACGCAACAAAACGGAATGTTCAAATGCAACAAATGCAGTTCCTCTGGCGGGCCAGTTTCCCTTTCATCTGGTAACTTTTGGTGAAAAAAAGGAAGCAGTGAGAACAATAGGAGAAAACCAATATGCCTTTTCCGTGTATACTTCTTTCCAGGTATGTTGCTGCACCCAATGACGGAGACCACCCCGAAACTGTATCCAAGTTCAAGCTTCGAGCCGCGACAGTCTAATGTGGAGAAAGAAACGATCCAGCCAAGGGCAAAAAGGTGACATACCCGACCAAATGGTATGCCATCACAAAATATTCAGAGATGTCCTGGGGTAGAAAAATCGTGGGCCAAATAATCCTGAAGGCACCAGAGTCGCTCTCACATGCGCGACTCGTCCCGATACGTCCCGATACCGAGCTGGAGCTCAAGACTGTCCATAATTTGGCATACTACAGAACCACATCCCACTTGGGCTGGCCCTGTTCGACTTACACTTGAGGCCTGGTAGTCGCCTCACCTTCTTGGCCAGAGCTCGCCTCACCCACGGTTTTGACCCATCCAATAATCTCGAAGATCCGTGCTGGATCAACCCTAGAATCCGGGGCGAGAGCCGAGACCTCGCTGCTTGCAGAGCCGGGAGACTGTGACTTTGGTCCTTCCATGTGCTCAAAGAGGAGGGAATCGAGGTCTGATTTCGTTTCAAGAAGACCATTGACACTCAACTCGGGAGTGCCCGGCTGTGACCTGACACCTGGTGTCAGGGAGTTCATCTCCTCATTGGCAATGCCCTCAGTTTGTTGTGGTTGTGGAATCGCATTTTGTCTTCTCATGGCAACTGCAGAGGTGATGATGATCACACACAATGCACAGAATTGAATGAACGAGATTGACTCGTCCACCAACGATAGAGACTTCAATAGGGGCGGCGATCGAGAGGCGATGAAGGCGAAGACAACCGCAGGGGCAACACGACCGAGTCGAACTCTGAGCGAACCTAGTCAGCTCCCAACTCCAACTCTAGCCAAGAAACCACGCTCACTGTTGAAACGTATTCCTGTACAGGAGCACAGAGACTACTCCTGAGACGAACAGGAGTATGATGGTACTAACACGGTCAGTTCCAGGAGTCACCATGAAGCTCACGTTTACTCACACTGCACTGAGATCGTTGTGCCGGGGTAGACTCAAAGCAATTGCAGCACCCCAAAGTATCCCAGCAGGGAGAATCACAGACAAATGCTGCAAGGTATCCCAAAGGCTGCGGCCCATCCTTTCGGGGAGGCCTGGCATCGCGTCAAATGGTTCGAAACGTGGGGGAGGTTGGCGAAGAGGGCGACCAAAGAGCCTTCGTTGACATGCCTATATCGGCCCAGGAGAGCTGATGGGCTGCGTCTGTGGCAAGATTCAGGCCCTTATCGGCATAAGGGCCTAAGGCGTCTTATATGGTACACCAGCCAAAATTTGGATTGGATGGAGGCTGACCGGCGAGTTCCAGCAAGTTTATCTAACCGCTTTACGAAACGAGACGACAAACCTGTCGACATGACTTCAAGCAACAGCATCACCGGATTGACTGGTTGGAAAGCATCTGAGACCGCCACTCACGGTCTGCCGACCACAGGTGTGAGTGAGTTGGACACGCATAACAAGGCAATTGGGCCTTGACGGGATCAGTACCCAACGCAGGTCGTGCCTATTATGAGGCTGTCGATACTCATTTGGGACAGGCACAGTTGAAGTTGAGTTGCAACTGGGCTGATTCGCTGAGGCGGAAATGGTTGGCTTATGAGTTAACCAGCAAAGTTGAGACCTAGTCCGCCTTGGCGTTTATTTTCAACCCCGTCAATCCGACGGCTTGGGCACACATGCATGCAACAAATCACCAGAGATCTCTACCGTGAGGCGGTTAGGTGATGGTGTTTACAGTGTCTCAGTCATCCAAGGCCCGTTCGCGAAGATTTTTGCATTGACGCTGTTGACCCTTCTCCCCAGTTACGAACCCATCGAGGCTACGAATTGAGGCCCGCCACTAGGACTCGGCATGTTATTCTAGGTAGGTATTCACGAGGCAATTAGGTCAGCCAGGTTCAACAACTCGGGCATCAATCGCAAGAAAGAAAGAAACATTTATATCGGCTCGGGAATGGACGCTTTTCAATCTACGAGGATGAAAAGCAAATCGAGATATCTTGTCTGGAAATTCACCATTGTCACTCGTGCTCGACGTCAGCTGACGCAACAAGTCCGAATTCATGACCATTCAGCCAAACGACCAGCCTGTGTTCCACAACAAAGAGACTAGCCAGCATGTTTCAGTCTATCAGCTCGTTACCGAGTTGGTCGAACTGGTGCCGGCGACTCTCAGTTCCTGGATCATGTCTGCCTATATGCGGCAACTCCATCCAACATACATAGTAAGTTATGCTGGGAAATGGCATGGTTATTGGCTATCTATACCCTGGCAGCTTGCCTCAAGGCATAGGACGTTAGCCATGCATGTCTATCCGTTCCCAGAGTTGCCATCTGACTGACGTCGATATTGCCAGGCCTGGCCTCAAGCAGCACCAGTCAATGTTCTTGCTCAGCCATCACAGTGGTTGGCGCTTACAGCATGTCTCGTTTACGGCTGTTCGATCGCCTCATTTCTTCACAGGCGACGGTTTCTAGATCCCTACCAGCCCTTTATCTTTGCAGCTTGCGTGTCTCTAGGGGCCGTGCTGGGGAAATGCACCGGGGCAAGTGCCGACTACATCCTACTGGTTCATGTATCGTGGGCGACGTGTCTGGCCATGATTGCCAGTGTCATTTGCCTCCGTATTCAATGTGTGCTTCCGTGAGAGAGACGGGTTGAGTCGCTCCAGACTCTCACAAATACATACCTAGCCATGTAAAGCGGAGTTTCCTTTGTTCCTATTTTCTTGCATACATTTATCACGATTTTCATGGGAGACCTCATGTAGGTCAGAAACTGGCAAAAACTTGGACAAAAGGGAAAAACATAGGGCTTGATGAGATACGAGCAACGACCAAACTAGCAATCCCTCACAGAGACAATCCAACATAGGATTTCGCAAGTCTCAGTACCTATCTTTGGAACAGTAGTGAGTATCCATCCACCTGCATGTCCTCATATCTCCACCAGTTCTCGTTATCTCTCTCTGCGATGCCGGACAGCTCGGTGCTTCCGGGTGGATCGTTGTATTCTGCGGGGAAAGCTCTCCTTGTCAGACATTGGCTCTTGTCGTTGTGGAATGGGGACGTTAGTTGTGACATATGTCATGGGGCGTAGCTTGACAAGGTGTAAGGCGCGCCCAATCCCAAGGGCTCTCGCAACGACAACTCGACTGTATGAGCGAGCGGGCGGTCGACAAGAGTTGTACGTAATAATTAAACAACCATAAAGCATCAGCTGCTCACGTGGTGAAGCCCAGTGACCTTGAAACCCCGCTCGGGGCGGTGGTCCCGGTATAGGGTAGGCGAACTCAAGAGGATCGGGGCTCCACCGCCGGGGAAATCGACAGGGATACAGCCGGCTAAGAGCGGTCGGAGGTTGTGTCCGGCACCGGCCTGTTATCAAGGTGCGCCCGGGTCCGGTAGATGGACGATTATTAAGATGATCCTCTTTGTAGGACGCTATCTTTGTAGGTGACCTTGACTGACCGTCTACAACAACTCGACTTGGTCAGTCATTGAAGACGATATCTGCTTTCTTTCAATACTTGGTGGGGATATCTAAGTTGACGTGACGAGAGCCTCTCCACTTATACGATACACGACCCCCTCTCTTCGCTTCAGCTACTTTTCGCTTCAGCTACTTTTCGCTTCAGCTACTTATCACCTCCGCCGGATTCGACACTCGGCGCAATGCTCTTGGCCACGAGAGCGGCGCGGCTTCGGTCCGTAGCTGGTTATAGTCGCCTGTTCCACGCCAAGTCTCAGCATCTGTCGAGTGCCGAGGCCGCACCGGCTGCTCGCCCGGCTCACTATGACAACTCGCAGCAGCTCTCGGCTATCGATGAGGTCAAAGCAAGGCGAGTCAAGGCTGGGAAGCTAGTTGCTGGAGTTGCGGCTGCTTCGGATAGTGACATGTTTAAGGGGCCGGTGAGTTGCCATGAGTGTCACCGAGTTGAACGTCGGAGGCTTATCCCGATATCATAGACAATCGGCTTGCCCAAGTCTAAGCGATGGGATAGTATGTATCAGCTTAAACAACCCCTGAGGCGCTGGCTTACATAAAATAATAGGTCACTTAAGCCACGAGAGCAGCATACGAGGGCCTTGCACTCTCAAACAAGCCGCTCGCCACATGAAGAAGCCCGGTATGATCTCACTCGGTGGCGGTCTCCCCTCAAGTGAGGTATTCCCCTTTGCAGAACTCGGATTCAAAGTGCCCGTGGCTCCCAATTTCTCCGAAAAGGAAACACAAGAGTCGGGACAGACGGTTACTATTGGAAAATACGACGTTAGAGACCGCGACGGCACCTATGACCTGTCCATCGCATGCAATTACGGCCAGGCTACAGGATCTCCTCAGATGATGCGGTACCTGACGGAGCACACTGAGATTGTGTATAAGCCTCCTTATGCGGATTGGCAGGTCTGCCAGACTATCGGTAGCACGGGAGCGTTGGAGGAGGCGCTTCGCATGTTCTGTGACAAGGACCGAGGCGACTCTATTCTGACCGAAGACTTTAGCTTCTCAACAGCTCTTGAGACAGTTGGACCTTTGGGTGTAAAGGCCTTTGGCGTTGCCATTGACGAAGAGGGCCTCATTCCTGAGCATATGGATGAGCTCCTGTCTAACTGGGATGCCAAGGAGCGAGGAGCGCGGAAGCCTCATTTGCTTTACACAGTTCCTTCGGGACAGAACCCTACAGGAGCGACTCAGGGAACAGAACGACGAAAAGCTATCTACGCCGTGGCGCAGAAGCACGACCTATACATCATCGAGGACGAGCCGTATTACTTCCTCCAGATGCAGCCGTACACGGGACGCGACCAGCCCGATGTGCCGCCGCCCAAGACTGTTGAGGAGTTTGTCTCGTCGCTGATCCCCTCGCTGCTGAGCATCGACGCTGACGGGCGTGTCATGCGCATGGACTCGTTTTCCAAGGTTCTCGTACCGGGATCACGACTCGGATGGATCACGGCATCAGCGCAGATCGTTGAGCGATACGTCCGGCACGCAGAGGTCGCCAGCCAAGGACCTAGCGGTTTCTCCCAGCTTATTCTGTACAAGCTGTTGGACGAGACGTGGGGACACGAGGGTTATCTCCGGTGGTTGATGAACTTGCGGCTGGAGTATACCAAGAAGCGGAATGCTCTGCTTGCCGCTTGTGAGGATCATCTACCAACCGATCTCGTGAGCTGGACTCCTCCTACGGCTGGCATGTTTGTAAGTGCCCCTGAGTACACGTACAATCACTTTGAGTGAGACTTGACTAACAGGACATGTAGATGTGGTTAAAGGTTGATCACACCAAGCACCCTCAAGCTGGAGAACGCAGCATCATAGACATCGAGGAGGAAATCTTCAACTCTTGCATCGAGAGTGGCGTCCTCGTGGCAAGGGGCTCTTGGTTCCTGACCGAGAAGGATAAGCCGCCCCCTGGATTGTATTTTCGAGCTACCTATGCCTCAGCGACGCCTGAGAACATGAACAAGGCTATCGAGAGATTCGGCAAGGCCGTGAAAGATAGCTTTGGAAGAAAGTAGATGGGCTTGGTGAGAGATGAGTGGAATTATGTTGGGGAGTTATTGAACTGAATATTGAATAGGGGTAACAGTGGCGACGTATTTAGCAAGTTTACATAGTGTCAAGACAAAACTGAACCATCCCAAAACACTCTCGCTCTGAATCATTCCAAAAATCAACTCGAACCTCACGCGCGAGTCGCCTCCCAGAAAGCCACCTTGACACCCTGCCCCGGCGACAGCACAATATCAGCCTTGAGCAGCGGCTTTCCCCCGTCGATCTCCTTCATGTAGCTCACGGCGCGCTCGTACCTCTGAAACATGCGGCAGAGTGTGTAGCTCATCTCGGTCAGGGCGAACTGCTGACCGATGCAGATGCGCGGGCCCGCGTTGAAGGGGATGTAGTCGTGAGGCTTGGGGAACCAGTGCGCCCATCGCTCTGGGCTGAAGATTTGAGGATCGGCAAACTTTTCCGAAACGGGGGGATAGAGATCTGAGCGGCGCTGCATTACGAGCGTAGAGTATGCCACGGGTGAGTCTTTGAGGACGGGGAGGGGTTCGGTGCCGTCAGGGCCTCCACCTCGAGGGAGGGTTGTGTCTTTGAGAGCTATACGAACGTTGAAAGGAACAGATGGATATAGACGAAGAGTCTCGTTGAGGATTGATTTGAGGTAAGGCATGTTCTTAAGATGCTCATACGTCGGAGTCTCATCCGGGCCAACGGTAGACAGAATCTCAGCACGCAGCTTAGCGACAGCATGAGGATAACGACCAAGCTCATAGAGAGCCCACGACAAAGTCGAAGCAGTAGTATCACGACCAGCAAGAAGCACAGCAATGATCTGATCACGGAGAACCTTGCGGTCTCGCGTGAAGCCGGCCAGGGCGTGCAGAAACGTGTACCCGTGGTCGTCCTTGGAGTTGGAGGCGAGCTCCTCGGGACTTAGACGAAGAGCTCGGTCAATGTACTTGTTGATAAAGTTGTCGACGACGTTGAGGCAGTGCCAGAAGCGCGGCTTGGGGTAGAAGTGGCGGAGCTTGCCGGTGCGGGCGACGATGTTTTGGATGTGTTGGATCTCGTTGAAGGCCTCTGCGAACTCTTGTCTTGGATTTCTGCATGCGTCAGTGGTTGACTGTATCTTTGGTGGTTGTGTGCTTACGTTAGAGACTTGATGTCTGAACCTAGGAGAAACTCGGTCGTCACATCAAGAGTGAAGCGAAAGAAGAGATCACTGATATTGAGCACCTTTCCATCCACACTATCCATGTCCACAACCTGAGCCTCACCCAGTAGCGGCCCTCCATTGGCGATAGCTTTGAACAGCGTCTGAACGTGCGATTCGAAGCAGTGTAGGTCGCTAACGCGGTCCCTGGTGAACTGTGGCCGGATGAGATGTCGGCTAGCATGCCACTTGGCGCCATCAGTGGTGAAGATGCTGTCACCTAGAAAGTCGCTCCACTCGCGGTGAAAGGGTTCACCCTTGCCGTAGTCGCCAAACTGCGTTGCGAGGATGGCCTTGACGTTTGCAGGGTCGGCAGTGAATATGGTGCGAACGCCCAGGAATCGCGACTCGACGGTCCATGAGTTGTGAGCGCCAAAGATGGTGTCACGCCAGACCTCCATGTTTCGATGCTTTGCCGTCGCGTAGACGAACTTGACCAGTCGGTCGAGACCTAGGAGGTGAGGTTAGGAGAATTTAATGTGTAAGAAGATTCACTTACCCCATGGAGCGTAGGTTCTGAGATATGGTCCATAGCGCCCGAGACGACGAATCCGTATGTGCTCGTCTATGCGACATCCGATGTAGTAGATGGTATAGAAGGCGGCGGCAATGAGAAAGACGGCCTTAAAGGAGGCCTGCTCTAGGAAGGCTTCGACAAGACCCATGATGATATGATGTTACTTGACAAAGTCACTTAGAAACAAGACGATAGCTCGATTGAGCCAAGAGCCAGTTGATGTATAACAAGCTTTGAGAAAAGAACGAAAGTCAACCAAACAGTGGGAACCAAGCCTATACATAAATATCATTGACCTGACCTTAAAAAGCAGTGTAACAAGATCTGCAGCATTCCCCAGCCTATCCCCGCGAGACGCCGCCCTCCATCGGATACGTCGAGTCACCGTAAACGCTGCAAATAGCAAAGACGTCACTTTTTTTCAGATGTTCTTGGCTATGGACACGAGCTTTGCGGGGGAAGAGGCTGGCTTTTTGCCGAGGCGCTTTTTTGGCTGAGGGGGAGGAGGGGTCTCGGTTGGGGATGGGGATGCATATGGACCATGGGTGTACGGTAGGGTTTGAGATCAGATCAGATGGCGGGGTAAACAGCTTCTACCTTGAAAGTAGAATGGGATTTGATGGCATTTATTGATCTTGCCCAAAGCGTAGTCGTTGTAGGCTGTATTGCTATCATCTTCTGCTGATATCACAGTGAGAACCAACGTAATGGTCAGCCAACAACTTGCCCAACATCTTCTTTGACAGTCAAGACTCACAGCAAACAAACAATAGCACGTGAACTCGTTCCTGTGGCTGAATGCCGAGCCCACGATCAGGATGCCCGATGCGGAAACTTGACCTCGTCCCAATCTCATTCCACCCATTACGAAAGAGAGACATCCCGATGCCAAGCGAACTAGAGGATCTAAAAGAGGATGCATAACGCGCACTCTACAGGTCCCTTGTCACATGTTAGCATTGTAACCCTATGTGACGCCGGGAACTTGTATGATCCCGGTAGCCCGTCCATAGGAGGAGACCGGTGCAACATTCGCCCCGGACTTACCCCACAGATTCGGCGCCGCGGACCCCGCTCCGTGTTGAAACTCCGGCCCCGCTCCGGAGCCTCACAGAATCAATACTTAGAGTCGTCAAATCCCAGGTAGCGTATGCTCGTGGTTGAAACGTAGAAATGCTGAATCTGTTGAAATAGAATAAAAATGGTATGTACAAAATCTCTCGTCACCGCATCTAGGGCTCGAAATAAGCACACTCTTCCGGACCGCCCTGTGTGCAGAATGGCATCTGCACCGGCGAAGCACCCACACCACGGGCAACCATGCGCTCTCGCATCTCGGCCAGTCGTGGTGCGGCATCATACTGTGTCCGGTTCTTGCCAGAGGCGTCGGTACGGCCCGACCAGAGGACCTCGCCTGCAGCGCCTGCACGCGGCCACACCAGGGAGTCGAGGTTGACGCTGTCAATAGTCTCGGACCAAACTGCCACCTCGCCGCCGAGGACGAGCTTCGCTTCCTCCTCAGACAGGCCTGCTCGGGGGTCGTGCGAGTAGATGAGGCGCCAGTTCTTGCTGGGGCCGCACCAGTCGTTAAAGGGGTAGAATGTCTGGAAGGACTGGCCGTTGTCAAAGTTGAGCCACTGGCCTCGGCCACAGTCGAGGTACTAATGGATATGTCAGTAACCCATGCCTTAGATGATCAAGATTTGACCTACCCAGAAGTTGTAATCGCTGTCAATAACCTTGTGGCCAGCCGCAACCAGGTCCTTGACAGCGGTACCGCCCAGCCAGGACTGAACAACGACGTCCTTGCCTAGGGTCATGTTCCACTCAGTGATCATCTCCTCCCACACCAGGGGTGTGAGGCCAGCGTCGCGGACCTTTCCGTGCGCGTAGTCGAGGAACTTTTGGAGCAGAGGAGCCAGTACTTCAGTCTCGTTGGATCGAACGCCTGGGTCGAGCATCGAGTCGTTGTGGTTAAGCTCATCTCCACCAGTGTGGAAGTAGGCCGTGTAGGGCGAGATGCGGGGGAAGAGATCACCAAACAGTGTGTCGAGGAAGTCGTACACATCGCTGCTGTTCATGCGGAACGCGCCGCAAGGAGGCTGCTTGCACCACCACTGGTAGGGCTTCTCGTTGTACGCAACAATAAGGTCCTTGTAGGCTAGCTCGACGACGCCAATGTGGCCGGGCATGTCAATCTCCATCACCACCTCGACTCCACGGTGAATTCCGTACTCGTAAATGTCAGCAATATCCTTGGGCGAGTAAGAAAGGCCCTTGCGGTAGGCACCCTCCTCGGCCAGCTTGGGCAGAGCAGGGATCTCAAGAGGCCAGGACTGCGAATCAGTGATGTGGAGGTGCAGTCGGTTCAGCTTGTTCCAGGCCATGGCGTCAATGGTGCGCTTGATGTGCTCGACCTCGAAGAAGCAGCGGGCAGTATCGAGAAGGATGCCTCGATGAGGGTAGACGGGCTCATCCTTGATGGTGACGGGGGCGTGTGGAGTGTACCAAGAGGTGCCGGAGCTGTGCTTGAAGAAGAGCTGGACAAAGGTCTCGAGGCCGTGCAGGCAACCAGTGGAAGACTTGGCCTTGATGACAGCCTCGCCATTCTCAGACAGGGTGAGCGTGTAGGACTCGTCGACCTCGCCGGCTAGCGGCTTGAAGGTGGCCTTGTCGTCTTCCTCAGTCTGGGTGATCTCGAGCGACTTAACCCACTTCTTGTCACCCAGGGCAGGCTCAAAGTCAGAATTGCGCGGACGGAGCTTCCAGGGGACAAAGTTGTCCTTGAAGATGGCCTGTAGGGCGCGTGAGACACCGGCCTGGACGATCTGCTTGCTGCTAAAGTCTGAACCAGCGGCTGGTGAGTACTGGTAAGTATAGGGCATCTGCTCGTCAAACATGGTCTTAGTGTCCGGATGCTCAACAAATCCAGGGAGAGGAGAAGTCCAGCGTACAAAGTCCCCATTGTAGGTGATCTCGAGGCTCTGGTCAATGAAGAGAGCTTTCTCTCCCGTGGAGATTTCTCTGGGGATGGGCCATATGGCGTTGACGGGGGTAAGGGCGAGGGCCGCCACGGCGACGAGGGCCTTGGACCACATCGCGAAAGACAATGAAGGATGCAGAATACAAGATGCTATGCTATCCAAGAGATGGTCGCAGAGGTGGTCGCAGAGGTATAAGAACCAAGGCCGGTAGGTGAGATTTAAGTGCCGAGTGCCGTCCAAAGGAATACGGGGACATCAGTTAAATAGGGACGTCGATCCTCCGCTAGGGCCCCTGGCCTGGAGACACGGGAGAGGCTTGTCACTCGTTTCTATGGGCGTTTGCAGGAGGCAGGGCAGGGCAGGGCAGAACAGCAGGGCAGAAAGGATTGGCGCTAGTTTCTCCCCGGCACCTTGCAGTTGCAGGGCAGAGCAAGGGCATAAGCTTGAAGCAATCGTGCCGAGCCTGATTTGGAGGCGGTAGATTGCGATGTGATGGACGGCCAGGCTGCGATGTCCCGGGCGACCATGTGGCACAGCCGCAACGTTACACGACCACCCGAGAGGTTGCGATTACCGTTTTCGAGATGAAAAACAGCGAACTTTTGGTAGTAATGGACACAACCAAGTGATGATGATTATTGCTGTTGTTGATTTCGATGACAGATGACGGCGTCGTCTGAGCTGAGATTGGACGTAGAGGTAGGATTCACTGGAGACAGGGAAGGGGGCGGGGATTGACAGGACCAGGACCTCGCAATGACCCGTGATGCCGGAAAATAGGTAGCTTGGACGTAAAGAGGCTTGCGGCAGATAGAGAGACCAGACGAATCCTAGAGGCCGATGTGTGCGCCCATTGCTATATTTGCGACAGCCGTGCTTGAGGTAAATGCACGACGGACGGGAGATGAGCTGAGACGAGACCCGACCTGCCTCTACTCAGTGGAAAAGAGGCCCAGACAGCGCCAAAAATGGGCTGAGCCGCGGCGCCAAAGTCAGCGGCGTCAGCGCCCGTCGGCGACTCGCAGCGGCTGGACTCAGCGAGGACGAGGCTGGCGTTGGACTGCATCTGCCATGGTGGTGCTGATGACATTCATTGGATGTGATGCTTCTCGACGTGTTTCGACTGTGCAGTTTCCAGGCGAGTTCTCACGTTACTTTTACGCTTGGCATTCGGATGGTTCAAAAGACTGGTCGGAACGACTTCATTGTATCGTCTCTGCGCAGCAAGGAACCGACTTGGTACGTTCCATTGTATCTTGCTGCAGCTCAGAGTCGTTGTCTCGGTGGCTTCTCCCAGTCCCAGCCCCCCAATCTTGCTGCATGCACGCACCCAGATGGAGCCACTGGCCTCATGGATATTGATCGTCTGGTAAGGTAAATGAGGAGAATGCAGCCCTAGATAAACATGATGGATGGCAGCAGGATGGATTGATTGCAAGGAGGAGGAGAAATGTAACATGTAAACACCCATGGATGGTGTTGGACGTCCCCCGCACTGGAACATGAAGGTCGAGCATTAATCTAGACAAGTTGCGGGGGAGATGGAAAGAGGGTGGGACAAAGGAACGCCATCTCGGGACGCCGTCTTGGGACTTGATCTTGTGAGAGAGCAAGGGGATCTTTGATTAACTTGAAGATCAATGAATGGATGCCATAAATAGCTTCACGGCAACCTCCTGTCGCTAGCTTGCATTGTGTCGAGGCTGCATAAAAATACGTACAGGATAAAGAGGCTTGAAGAGGACATGTGAGCCACATTTCTGACTAATCACTCCTCTGACAGCTATTCGTTGCTCACCGAATCTTCTGGTCCGTGGTGGCAACATCACAGGTGTGTGCCTGTTCACTGACAAACGCATCTTTGAGCTGGTTGGGCTTTGTTGGATAGATATTATCAATTGTAAAAGAAATCTTTGAGATAGTCGAATCAAGGGGCTTCACTATGTGGCTTTTCCCTTGACCAGAAAACGTTTATTACCAACCAAACGGCTCTTACTCGACAAGGTAAACAATGACTGATCGACACATCACGTGATAGACAGACCCATTTCCCGACGACTTCTCCGTCACTCTGGCAGAGCTTTTGCCAACTCCAACACAAACCAACCTCAAAGACTGCTTCATCGCCGCTCGGTGTGACGACGCAGCATCACCAACTCGACAAACACAACTTTGCGCAAGCGCCCACGCATATTTTGTAGCCTTGCGACCCGTTTCCCTTTTACGCGACGCGAATTGTCAAAGACCATCGAAAAAAACGCGTCGCTCAAAGACTGCCCAAGTCTCGATTAGACTCTGCGGCGAAACCACCCGCCACCCGCACCCGCACCCGCCTTCCACAATCCCCTACTCCCTTCCCGTGACGGCGCATTCACTCAATATGCCTGTCGAAGTCAGCCTCAACACGCCCCTGGCGGAGGCTCTCAATGCCGCTATCCAGCCCAAGCTCGTCGAGGTTGGATGGGGAACCGGTGGCGCCGATGATTCCGCCCTGGCCGAGTACATCATCCTGATGCTGGTCAACGGAAAGACCCAGGACGAGATCGCCTCTGAGCTTTCTGGCGATCTCCTGAACCTCGGCCCCGACGACCCCAGCACTCGCGACTTCTCCCAGTGGCTATTCCAACAGATCGATACCCTGAGCTCTCCAGCCAACGGCGGTAGCTCAATGCCTGACGCTTCCCAAGAAGGCGCTGGCGCTGGCGACATGGATACCGATATGAATGCCGGAGATGTATCAGAGTTGAATGCGTATGTTCCCCTTATTTCCTTGCGCCTGACGTAGATGTACTGACTCTTCTTAGACCAACCGGCCCCCGCTCAATGCGAAACGGAAACCAACGAGGTGGACGGGATAAGCGCATGTTTGGCCAGATGAACAAGGCTATGGACCGCACTGGCGACGCTGCCCTTCATCGTGTTAGAGGCCAGACGGGCGGTGAACGCATCAACACCCACGGCCGCAACCCCCCAACCGGTCCCAGGACAGGCCGAGGTGGTATGGGCCGTAACAACAACAACCGCACCGCCAACCTCCAAGCAGGCTTGAACGCCATGGCTGCTGGCGGACCCCAGGGTCAGTGGATGATGCCGGCCAACGGGGCCAACCAGATGGACTTCGCAGCCATGCTCGAGCAGCAGAACCAGATGATGTTCCAGCTCACGCAACAACTCATGGCCAATGGTGGAAACCCAGGGCAATTTGGACAACATCGTCGAGGAGGAAAGGGTGGTTTCGAGCGAGGCCAGAACTCGACCAGGGGTAACTTCCGTAGGGGTCAGAACCACCACCACGACAGGCAAGGCAGCAACAAGCCTGAGGGCGAGGGCGAAGGTGAGGATGTGGACATGTCTGGAGAGAAGCGCGAGCCCCCGAACCCCGAAGACACGGTGTGCAAGTACAACCTGAACTGCACCAACAAGGACTGCAAGTTTGCCCACCAGTCGCCGGCAGCGCCTCACGGTGTCTCGGTCGACGTCAACGACATTTGCACCTTTGGAGCCGCGTGCAAGAACCGAAAATGCGTTGCTCGACACCCCTCACCAGCGGCTCGTCTCGCGCATCAGAGCGAGCAAGACTGCAAGTTCTTCCCCAACTGCCAGAACCCGCGATGCCCGTTCAAGCACCCATCGATGCCTCTGTGCCGCAACGGAGCTGACTGCACAACTGCCAACTGCAAGTTCACGCACGTCAAGACAAAATGCAAGTTCAACCCGTGCCTGAACCCTCACTGCGCCTTTGCGCACGAAGAGGGCCAGCAGGGAGGATTTAAGGATAAGGTCTGGACTGCAGACGGCAAGGAGGAGCACGTCAGCGAGAGGAAGTTTGTGGATGAGCAAGCTGGCGAAGAGCTAATCAAGGGTGAGGAGGACCCTAAGGAGGACACCGACATCATTGGTTAGAGGAAAACAAAAAAAAACGGGTGGCTTGGAGGGATGAGATGATCGACAAGCAGATCAGATCACACGATACCCAGGGGTTAAAGGTTCAGTCCCGTCTCAGGACTGGGACCAGCAGAACAAAGGCTGATGAACAGAGGAGGATGAGACGGACGATATGGTGAATGAAGGATATGTACTACTACGGTCTGCTTTCTAATGCCGTTGGCCGGGGTGGCAAGAGCATGGAAGGGAGTTTTGGAGTTTTTGTTTCTTTTGCTTGCGAATTTGCCATGAGCACGAGGCAGGGCCATATCTTGTTTATTCCTTATATAGGTACATAGAGGCCAGAGAATGATGGCCACAGGTCGCGCATCATGAAGATGCTTCAAAGCAGATGCGCGAGGGGGAAAGAATGCAAACAAGGGCCCATGGCCATGCCTCGGAGTTTTCTTTACTGTCCCATCCTTGAAGTGCCTTGCCTATACTGATATGGGATGAAATAAACCGTGTCTATCATCCAATCTATTAATCTATATGAATCTATAATGTTTCTATTGTGATGTCAACGATGCACGGATGAATACCGGCTCATGCCAGGGACCTAGCTTCAACTGCCTACCTCCCCGCCAAAAAACCCCATCCCACTGTAAGCTCGCAACACTCCACCATCTCGTGACGGGACCAAACACCTTGGCCATGACCAATTGAGCCCTCGTCATGAGTCTCTGCCGTGCAGGATCCCTCCCGGCTGCTCTCCTGAGCTCCGGCGCCGCCTCCCACCGCCTCAATGGCTGTTGCCATCGCAGCCTCTACGCCATCACCGCCGCTCGACGCCGGAGCATCAACGGCCGACGGGCCTACACCACCGAGCCCAAAGACGCCGACATTGCTGTCCTCGGAGGAGGCTTGACAGGTCTCTCCACTGCTTACTACCTCGCAAAGAAGCTTCCCTCGACTGCCAACATCACATTGTACGAGTCTAGCGACCGCCTTGGAGGATGGATCAAGACGGATAGAGTACCGGTCGACGTTGGGGGCAAGCAGGGCGTCGTCTTGTTCGAGCGCGGCGCACGATCTCTGACTTCGCTGAATGGAAACACCTTTCGATACGATGATCTCGTCCTCTACGATCTTGTGCGCATCCTGAAGCTCCCCAGCACGCAATTGCTCCGCTAACCTCCCTACCAGGCTCTTGATCTCGGTCTCAAGATCAGCTCGCCGGGTGCTAAGCCGCGATACATTTACTATCCCGACCACCTAGTCACCATGCCACCCTTCGCCCCGTTCTCCGACTTCCTCCGTGAACCTCTCTTCCTCCAGAGCTTCGGCGCAGGCCTCGCCCTCGCCTTCAACACGCTTCGCCGGCGGCAGCTCCCCGCCCAGGACTACTCGGTCGCCGAGTGGCTCTACGAGATCACAAACAGCCGCAAGGCGGTCGGAACCATGGCCTCGGCCATGATGCACGGCATCTACGGCGGCGATATTAACAAGCTGAGCGCCCGCTCCGTCCTCGACCGAATGTACTGGGGCTGGTACCTGCCGAACCCGGGCTTGCACGCGCGTCCCATGCCTATGCCTGAAAAGGAGATTCTCGAGGCGTTGGGCAAGGACAAGGAGATTCAGAAGCTGGCGCTGGCTCCAAAGAATGCTTTGATTGACTTTGGCGAGTCGGGAATGGAGACGTTGCCCCGGGCCATGGCTGACGCCCTGAGGAGTCAGCCAAATGTCACCATCAAGACGGGCGAGGATGTATGGGGTCTGACTTATGATCAGGAGACTAAGAAGATCGAGGTAACAAGGCTTGTATCTCAAACAAACCAAGAGAGCGTGCTGACATGAAAAAACACCACTTAGATCGCCAGCTCCAAGCCAAGTGAGCAGGCTCAGCTGTTCGACAAGGTCATCTCAACCCTCTCGAGTCAGGACACGGGCAACCTCGCCCCTTTCAAGCTCCGGGCTTTGGCAAATACTCATTCAGTCTCCATAATGAGGGTCAATCTCTGGTTCCCCCAGGAGAACATCAAGCCCCCTGGCCTAGGCTACCTGATCCCCAACTCGGTGGCCCCTGAGACGAACCCGGAGCACGCCCTTGGCGTCTTCTTCGATTCGGACGTCCAGGTCCGCTCCGCTGATGAGCCTGCCGGTACCAAGCTCTTCGTCCTCATGGGCGGCCACTATTATGACCAACCTGATGTCAATATTCCTACAGAGGACGAGGCCATCATCCAAGCCCGCAACCTCCTCGAGCGCCATCTTGGCATCCCCCGCGATGCACCATGCCACGCTATAGCAGGCCTCGCCAAGAACTGCATCCCTCAGCACAACGTCGGCCACCAAGACCTCCTCCGCGAAGCACATAAGGAGCTCAGCACCCACTTTGAAGGCCGCCTCGCCGTAGCGGGAGGCTCATACAGCCGCATCGGCGCCATCGCCAGTCTTCGCGCTGGTTACGACGCCGCCCTCTCGACCAAGTCCGGGCTAGATAAAACCGGCCTCGAGTACTTGCACGATTTGCGGGATTTTGCTGTTGTACCTATCGAGAAGATTCCCGTGCGGCGCTTCAAGTGAGCGTGGTGTGTCTTGTGTGAGATAAGAAAATAACCAGTATTTATAAAAAGGGGGTTGATATGATGAAGAGTTGGTCAGGATAGGTAAAGCTGTATATTATTATAGATGAATAGAAGGACAAACCTGAACTATATAATAGCATCACTTGTGTGGACGTATATACGAACGGGTTATAGGGACCATCAAGATGAATGCTCTTGATACTCTAGTCAGGGGTCACCACACCAAGCCAGGAGAAAGCTTAAGTAGACCATGTTTGAACCACCAAGATCAAAGGCTGTTAGCTTTGTCAATAAACACTTCAAAGTGCCTGAAGTTTCGATTATCTACCTCCCTTGCCTATGATCCCCAGGACAGCCATGACAACCAAGCCCACCCAACACATAACGCAGCCCATGCAAGTAACATTCCATTGGTTTCATTTGGAGGTATCATTAAGCTATCACAAAAAACACACCCACCCGCTTTGTTTGATCCTTTTTCGCCGCTGTTCTAAACCCCTCCCCCAAAACGTCCAGAGTGTAAAAACCCATCACCCATCGCTTTAGACACCGTTCTCTTCTTCTTCTTGTTCTTCTTCTTCGTCTACTCCAGGACAACCACCTCCGAGTTGCCCTGGCCTATCATCGGCCGGATGGCGTCGTCGATGGCTTTCAAGATGCCCACGACGCCCCTGCTCGGTCCGCCTACCGCGCTCGTCACCAGACCGGTCCAGTCATCGCCTTTGCCCTCCCACACGTGCTTGAGAGCCGCGGTGAGATCATCATTGGGCACTGATGTGTCGTTGGCCACGGGCACACGCCATATGTGCCACCAAGGCTCGCCTCGACGGCTCTTGATCCGGCCCTCGAATGCAACTCGGCGTTGCATTTGTCCCGGCCCAGAGATAAAGTAATCAAGTGTCATCCACTCGAGCGAGTTCATCGAGAACTGGAATTGTCCCTGGTTCCGCGCCTTAATATCTGCCCAGAGTTCTTCCGTCTTCTGAATCGCCTCTAGGGCTGGTAGGGATGTGGGTAGCCAGGCCATGAGAGCCTCGATTCCGCCGTCGCTGTTAACGAGGTTCTGCATCAGATCGACCACTCGAAGATGAGGGTTGCCCTTCTCCATCTTGATGTCGATAACATCCTTGGACAGGTTAAGTGCCACCCTCCATCTGCGTCCTGTCGCCGTAGTGTCATTGGGCGAGTCATTGCTTTGATCCCTGTAAGAGAAGACGACTTCTTGAAGGCTCACTGTTTCGCTCTGGATAGACCCCTTAGCCTTATCCATAGACTCGACGAAGCTGACAAAGCGATCGACTGCTTTGACTCGCGACTTCAAACTCTCCAGTATTGACTGCCCAAGACTGTGGCGCATCCGCAGACGAAATTCGCCCTTGAGAAGGTTGTACGAGACATCTTGACCAACCAGGGCACCCTTGATCGAGGTGAACTTGGCTGGTCTGCGGACCTTGATGATGGCGTCCGATATACACACCAAGGGTGTATCTGATTTGACATCCTGGGGGTTGGCACCCTCTGAAGCTGCGGGTTCCGCCTCGGGGAGCTGCGCCCCCTTGAAACTGATCGACACAATGTCATTCGCCCACGGTTCTATCGTTGAGAGCTTCAGTCCAGTCGCAGGTTGTGTAATCGAGGCGAGTCCTAGTTGCTCCAAGTCTCTGTTGCTCGAGGCTTTGCTGCTCTCCTTCTCGGAGCTGTCAAACACCATCGAGGGGAAAATGCCCGAGAGGGCAATCTCGATCGAGGGAAGCCGAACTTGTCGCGGGAGAGACCAGCTCTTTGTCTCGTTGGGCTTGAACTTGATCTGTTGCTTGTGGAGCTCGCGCATGTCTATTGCCTGGGCGATCATACCCGTAGCAAACACCGTCATGTTATTCCAGAAAGTGTTGTGAAGGCTAGGATAGCCCTTGTTGAACGGAAGCTTTGCTGTTAGTTTCACCACTGGCCCAGGAGTATTGCGGTCCCTGTTGTCCGTGTTAGCAAGGTTCTATTTGGCGCAGCCCAAGTTCAACTTACACTTCAAGCAGCCACCATTCATCACCGCTTAGACTCAGCACGACCATGATGAACCATGTAGGTCTCCATCCAGCTCTCTGGAGCCAGATGGTCTTTGTCCATTCGCGGTTCTTGGTAGCAGACCTCAACTCCTCGTTGTTGAGTGGGCTCTTCTGAACGCTCCATCCCATTGTGCTTCCTCGGCGGTTGAGCTCTTCTTCCATGATGGCGCATCTCACGTTTTCCAGGCATACCACGCCATCGTCTGCAGGACTCTTCCCGTTGTTGAGTTGAAGCTCGTGCTGATAGATGAACTTTGAATGTGGCTTGACTGCAAAGACACCAGTCGTCGGTTCGATCAGTAGTGAGATACTATCCTTGTATCCAACCTGCATGGACAGGGAGGATGCAGCTGGATCTTCCTGACAGCTGCGCAGAACCATAGCAGCTTCGCGATTACGGAAACGAGGCGTCGCCATGAGCTTGTCGTGGATGCTGCTGAGGAGGAAATCGATGTGAAGGCCGATAACTGTCTTCAAAAGGGCCTCCGCCGACAGGATGTTGGCATCAAAAGGCACTTCCACATCCTTGACTTCTTTGTTGTCTCGGTACCACTTTGCTTGCAGGAAACTCGATGACTTGGCGTTTGCCTCGCCATTTGCCTTTCGGCCACTGTTGACAGCAACCAGCACCCAGCTCTTGGGGCTTGTTGGCGGTGCTCGAGACGTCCAGTACTGAATTGCCAATGCTCGGTTAAGCGGCTCAACCTTGAGAGTGCCGGTCCAGGAGCCTTTGCTCAGTTGGTTGGCTTGACGTCGCAGTTCGTTGAGCTTGTGGGTGAGCACCATCTCATGCAAGAACTGGTAGCAGCCTAGCAACCCCTCTGTGCTGAGAACTCCGTTCACATGCCGCTCCAAGTAGTCCTTGAGGGATTCGGGAATCGCTGCTGCCGATGGCTTGAAGGTGAATCTCAGGTCGATGAACCAAAACTGCTTCTCGAAATCCTCATCCGCGATTGTGAGATCGACCTCGAATTCGCCAGGAACTTTAAAGGTGACTCGTCCTGACTTGATATCGTAGTTTCTGAAGTGGTACGGGATCTTGTCAAAGTCTTCCAGGTTCAGCCTAAGTGAAAGCAGGGTGTTGACATCACTCATCCACTGGGACTGCTCCTGCAAGGTCAAAGGCGGTGGTTCAATGTATTGAAGCTGGTCATCAGGTCAGTTTGTAGTCTCTCCCTAGGTACCAAGGACGGCACTTACATCAGGCATCCAAGCAGCCTTCCCTGTTGACAGGACCTGAAGGGCTGTTTTCAAATCAGGGCTTGGCATTCTCGCAAATGTCAAGTCTCTCTTGACATTAACCATAGTGTCAAAGGCCGTGTCGGTGAGGACCTGCTGCTTCATGATGTGGGCTCTCAAGTCGATCAGTTTGCTGACCATCTCTGCCTTGCGGCTCCATTCCGTGATGACAAGGGCCTTGACCCATCTTTGATGCTCCTTGTATGCAAAGTCCAAGATCGACTTCTTTTTGATAATGTTTTCGTTCGATGCGTCGTCAATGTCGTTGTTCGGTATTGAAGAGTTCCCATTCATGGCGGCTACAGGAAGGGGCATCTTGGCCATTTTGGTGATCTGATCTTCGAGGTTGTTGTGCGTGGATTGTGCCAGTCGTGTAAGAAATGTCGAAAGGGAGATGTATCCCTGGGTAATGTGGACGATCTCATCGGGGAGATCGTTCATTCTCGGGACTTGGTCTGATGCCGGCGCATTTGGTCGAGAGCCGTTCACCAGAGGACCGCTGGTGGCGTTCCCATTGACCATGGCACCGCTGGCATCGCCGCCAGATGCGGCTTTTCCCTTGTCCAAGGCATTCTGATGTCCATCAGCGCCCGCGCCGCTCACGCCATTGAGCGTTGAATCTATGTCGTGGTTAGAGCGCGCGCCATTCGGGCCGCCATTCTCCATGCTGATGACGCCCGGCATCCACTATCTCGTCCCTGGTCCAGGTGCTCCCCGAGCCAGACTGAAAAGAGATGGGCGTCTCTAGATGGTGTAGCAAATCTTTCTCGTCGTGTCGTTTATCTGCTCCAATGTGGCATGAGAGGCAGGCGGGATCTCTTTATCGGCGACCCCGGTGCTGCATGACAGTCGCAATCGTCTGCACCGAGCGGCGGACGCTGTGTGCGAGGGAGATTCGTATTAATTAGAGGCTCTAGGTGTTGAGGTGGTGTGTCGCTGTCCTCTTCGCTGGTTGCTCGTCGGGTTAGGCAGTCTCGCGAGAGGATGAAGAGGTGAGGCGCGGCGAAAAAGTCGTCGATTTAGGGAAGCGAACGTAACGCGATTCAGGAGTCGTCAAGAATAGGTCGATATTTCAATATTCGCGATGGTCTTGAGGGGTTCAAGCGAGAGGGCGTTCGAGTAGGAGACGACGCGATCGAAAAGGGTGATGAAAGAAGGATATGGTGAAGGACAGTGATTGAATGGATGCGCAGGGCAGCCTCTCGATTTTCCCCGGTTACCACGCCTTGCCTGACGGGACCAAAAGACGGAGGGCGCTGGGGTAACAGGCCAGGTCATGTGAGATGGAGACCGTGCATAATTTGAGGCGAGCACAAGGGCCAGGTGTACAAATAGTGCATAACGTGCGCCAACAGGAGTTATGCACGTTATCGCCGTCAAAGTCACTCCACGACGGGCATATTGACTCCGTCACTCGTTTTCTTTTGGTGACGGTTGTGGCGTTCAGGGTCCAGATTATCTCCAACTTCTGGAAACCTCCCCCGCTGGGATACGTAAGAATTGCATGATGTATGATAGTCGAGATCTCGCCTGCTTGTACTTCACTGCACTGTACGGTACTGTCGGTTCAAGGATCAGATTGGAATTTAATCTACCCTTTCATAACGCAAAGCCTGAGCCAAGCCCCACGTAGTTGCATCTAATAAACCCAACAAGCATGTGTCCATTATCTCGCCAGAACCCCTCCCGTTCTCGCCAATTTTACAGAGATCATCATCCGTTGGTTTTTGCTCGCCTTTCAAGGCTCGGGATATCATAGTCCGAAGACGGTCGCGACTCTTGTCGCACGGGAGGCGTCATTAACTACGAGCCAAATTAGTCCAATTGACTTCTTGCCTTCAACCTGGATCGAGCATACAGGATGCTGGTTCATCACTTACAACTTGTTGGGGGTGGCATTAGTCGTGGGCCACTGGTAACCGGCAGCGTCGCTGAACTTGTAGCCATACGAGGCCGTGAAGTCGTCGAGGACAGCAGGGCCGCGAGATCCTAGAGAGAATTGTGAGTTACGCTTCAATGCCGTCTATGCATGTCACCTACCATAGGGGTACTCCATGGGGATAATCTCCTTGTTCTCGTCCAGGTAGTGGAGGAGAGGAGTAAAGACTCGCCAACTAGCGTCGAGCTCGTCATCACGGACAAAGTTGGACTGGTCGCCCTTCAGGCAGTCGAGCACAAGAGACTCGTAAGCCTCGGGGATCTTGAGATCCGAGAATCGTCGGCGGTAGGTCAGATCGAGTTCGGTGACAACGGTCTGCATGCTCAAACCAGGAAGCTTGGAGTTCATCTTGATGTAGACACTCTCGTTGGGCTGGATGCGCATGACAAGCTCGTTTCGGGGAATGTCCTTAAAGATACCCGAAGTGACGTCCTTGAACTGAATTCGAATCTCTGTCTTTTGCTCGTTGAGCGCCTTGCCGGCCTTGATGATGAAGGGGACACCGTCCCATCGCTCGTTCTTGATGTACGCAACCATGGCGCAGAAAGTAGGGCATCGAGAGTCCTTGGGGACAGTGTCATCCTCGCGGTAGGCGGGCTTGCTGCCGTCGAGGGACTTGCCGTACTGGCCAATGATGACGTTCTTGGGCTCAATGGCGGGAATGGCACGGAGGACGCGGACCTTTTCGTCACGGATATCCTCAGCGTTGAAGGAGATGGGTCGCTCCATGGCCAGGAGAGTAAGGACCTGGAGAAGATGGTTCTGCATGACATCGCGAATGATGCCGAACTCGTCAAAGTAGCCGCCACGGCCCTCGGTGCCGAAGGGCTCCTTGAAGGAAATCTGAACGTTGTCGATGTGGTGACGGTTCCAGGTAGCGCCCAGGAATGAGTTACCAAATCGGAGGATCAGGATATTCTTGACCATTTCCTTGCCCAGGTAGTGGTCAATTCGGAACAATTCTTGCTCGTTCCAGTCAGGCTCCAGGGACTTTTGAAGCTCGCGGGAGCTGGCAAGATCCTTGCCAAAGGGCTTCTCAACCTATCCAAGATATCAGCGAGCTGCCCGCAGGTGGCGAGGGAGAATCACATACAATAACGCGCGCAATACCCTTTGAGGGATAGCACACCTTCTTCAGGTGCTGCGAAACAATGGTGAAGACACTGGGAGGCAGGGCCATGTAAAAGAGTCGATGGGCCTCGGCGCGACCCTTCTCGATGTCCTGGAGATGCTGCTCGAGGACCTGGAACGACTCATCCTTGTCGTACTGACCGGAGACATAGGTGCAGAGATTGCAGAACTCCTCGAGTTGTTGCTCAGACTCCTTTGTGGGGGTCTTCATGTATGACTTGATACGTCGAATGTACTCCTCGTGGTCCATCTTGGTACGGGCATATCCGACGATCTTGACATCTTGAGGGAGGAACTGGTTTCGGTACTGGGGGCAATGTTAGCCAAGGAATCATCTTACCGAGTGTCGAAAAGTGCAGCTTACCAGACCGAAGAGCGCAGGGTACTATCATGAAGCAAAGGCAAGCATGTTAGCGCAAGGCACAAATGAGGGGCGAGGATGGGAGAGCTCCCCACCGTCTTCTTTTTCGCAAGATCACCAGAAGCGCCGAGAACGACGATGGTGGTGTTTTGCTTAAGCTCCATACACCTGAGAGAGAAAAAATTCAGTTAGCGATACTGTTCCGACACGGCCGAAGAACCAAGGGCGCAAACTCGCACCCAAGGGCGAGCTGCTGTCGGCGAGGGAGCAAGCTAGAATCATGGTGGGGGTTTAGATAGCACCTACGGATCCATGATTGCGGTTGGGAATGTTGAGGGATTGAGGGAGGGGAAGCAACACGAGAAGCAAGAGGAGAAAAAGTCGGGTGAAATGGGCCACGGAGGACCAAGCCGAGTAGTCGCAGATGGAGGGAAACTCGGCGGAGAGACAGACAGACAGACAGCAGAGGAGAATGGATCTGAGGAAGAGGTGACGCTGAGGTTTGCGGGCAGCAGGCCTGGAAGGTTTTATGACGAGCATGCAGAGACGGGGAGCTAACAATAATGGCTGCGTGAGCGACGGGGCTACCTATGATGCAGTCCCTAAGGTGGGTGCTGCTGGGCAGGTACCTCGACCGACTGTCACACTGGCTGAAGCTCCCCTTCGAGGTGCTTGACCTGGCTCCATACGGTAAGGCCGTGAAGTCCGCCCCATGTCCATCCCCTCCCCCTCCCGCTCCGAAAAATCCAAATCCCACGCCTGTCCAAGCGCGGGCCAAGTTTAAAGATACTGTACTCGCTCGGTGACTTGATTGCCGGATCCTCGCATCCATATTTTTTGTCTGCGTATTTCTTTTCTGCCTGTTTTGACCGGACGGATATTTCGAAACGGCACAGTACCTCCATCGTCCCCCTTGCTGGTCAGTCACGGGCATGCAGGCGGTCGAATGGTCTCCGCGGGTTGTTTGGGGGCATGGCAAGGCATGGCATGGACCCATCTCGAGGTCTTACTGGATGTCGTGGAGTTGACGTATGGTGTTTCCACATCTTCAAGCCAGGAGCTTGTCTCATCTCACCCATTGCCATCATGAACATGTATCATCAGCTCTCCTCCTCCTTCTCCCCCTCTCCTCTTTTCCTCTCGTGATTGTCCATGCCCGCACATGTTCGTAGGTACTTGTGCAATGTGCTGTGTGCCGTGAGCATTACGAAGCAGCTTGCTTTTGCAACTAAACATCACTGCATCCATCCAACTTCTTTGTCAGCCAGCCCGGCTTGCCCGGACATCGATTCCTCACCGAGTCCTGCGCTTCGGCGAGCGAGGGTGAGAGGGGCATAGGCCGCCCGCCACCGCCCAGAGGTGTCTGGCGCGCAGTTCACCCCAACGCGGAACAGTCCTGGTCCACCCCAAATCGCACTGGGGGTAGATTATCAAGCTGTCTCTCTCTTGTTCGTTTTGGTCGGTATTGTTGCCGTTGCCCAGCGGACAGTCTTCCGTTGGACGAGACGGCCGATCCTGGGCTGTCCCTGTCTCGCTATTTGCCAGTCTGAGACGCATCTGAGCCTTTGGAGGTTGCGCCCACTCTTGGAACGGCCACCGCCGCTGCTGGACTGGAACAGAGCCCAAACAAACCGTTGGCCTCGGTGCTGGTATATCTGCATATGAGCATCTGCCTCGGCGGCCCAACCGCGGTCTCTCATGGATGCTTCTCTCCATAGGTACCGAAGTCTTGTACAAGGGGTCCTCGGAGTGACACGCAGCGGTTCGACTTGCCCGTCGAGGCCCACCGCCGCCCCTGATCCCTACCTTGGCGGACCGTCTGGCTGGCGGCGACGTCTCAACAACCCCAACCTCTGCCATGGATGAGACCCTGGGACGGGACGTGGCCTGGCTATCTGATAGGCACATAAAGGCACGCTTCCCTCTCCGTCTTTCAGGTTCTCGAGACGTGAATGAATCGCCCAATCCGTCGGACTTTGATGTCCGACTCGGCCCAGGATCGTGTTGTGTTATCCGCACCAACCCCTCCCCTCCCCGGTGTCGGCTTGATCTTCACGAAGAAGCTATTGGGGCGGAAAAGGCAGACACTACTCCATAGTCGTTCAAGACAAACCGCCTGATCAGGGCCCAGCATTCAACGAATTGAGGGAATTTCCTTTTACGGTAGTTGGGAACTGTGCGCCTCCACAGATGCGGATTTGCTGAGCCTATACTTTGGCAAGATGATGGCATCAAAACAACTACACTCATGCTTAATATTGTCCATTGCCGGCATGATATTCCCCGTAGACCCTCAATGAGCCCGTATTTCGCAAGGTTCCAGCCTAAAAGCACAATGGCCACGTATTGATATCAAGGCGGCATGAGCATGGTTCATGAACCCATTTCAAGATATTCCCCCAAAGTATTCTTGATTTGTCAACATCATAGCTCTCGCTCGGGATAATTACCCAGCGAGCCAGCATTTATCCAGCAGGTTCAACCGCCCAGGCGCATGGGGCAGCTCCGCTCGGCAGTCGGACGCCGGACGGACGTGGTGCAGGCCAGCTACGGCGTTAAGCCGGAGACAGCCTCATCCGGCCCTCAGCGGCGCGCGGGGCCGACTGTTTGGGGTTGTGGCTGACATCGGGTGTGGCTTCTCCCCAACTGTGGCGTTTTCAAAAAATTCATGCGGCTGGCACAAATTCCAACCCTAATCCCACACGTGACCCAAGGGCACAAAGTTTTCGGGCTAGGGACGGCGCACACCACATCGCATCCACTCCTCCTCAGCCCGACCACAAGATCACCAACGACGCGCACCAGCAACACGGAACGGTCTTTTTGTTAAGACAATTCCCTACTAACCCCCAGGTTGCGGAAGCCAGAACACAGTCACGATGCCTTCGGAAGCCGGTCACCGACGTGAGTCTTTCCCGCCCGCCCGCGAGGAGCCGATGCGGCTCTGAAATCTGGGAATTGAATATTGTTTTGGGGACTCTGCTAACTCGCTCTACAGTATACGTCAAGTGAGTACACTCCTTCATCCGCCTGCTAGCACGCGCGAGATGAGATTTCGTGCTCGATCCGCCCAGCACACCGATCTCGAAATTCCGATATCGAAATTTAGCGAAGCCCACGGCACTACACCGATACGATAGAATTTTGGACTGACGATGATGGTATAGGGGACGTCACCTGAGCTACCAGCGCTCTCGTCACACTACCCGCCCTGCCACCAGCCTGATCAAGATCGAGGGTGTTGACAACACCGAGGGCGCCAAGTATGTTGCTTCATGAGGGGAGGGGTTCTCAAGTTAGCTTGGATACTGACCATCTGTCCAGCTTCTACCTTGGCAAGAAGGTCGCTTTCGTCTACCGGGGCCAGAAGGAGATCCGAGGCACCAAGATCCGTGTCATCTGGGGCAAGGTTACCCGGCCACACGGTAAATCCATTTCGACTCTTCACGTACAAACACTGGCTAACTCTCGACACCAGGCAACTCCGGCGTTGTCCGCGCCAAGTTCACCTCCCCTCTCCCCACCAAGTCCTTCGGTGCTTCTGTTCGCGTCATGCTGTACCCATCTTCGATATAAAAAAAGGGCTTCGGGCTGGAGTTGGTAGTGAGGGCGGTTCTCATTTGGCTGCATTGGTCGAGGCAAGGATAAAGCAAATTGCCTTGCTTTGAGGCATTGAATTCAAAAAGACGTCAAATCCCAACCCCGAAGGCTCTGCACACCTGAGCTTCTCATTTGATGATATTTTCTTATTCCCATACCCATTCATGCAGCGGTTGGCGAAGAATTCGATCTCGACCAGGGTCAAGTCCACCAGAGGACCAGCGATGGAATACTGTTTTATGGATGGGATTCGAGACCGGAACTTCGGCGCCGGCGGCAGCGGCGAGTGACTAGGGTACAAGCGATTCATCGATGAATGCCAGGTTCAGGGCTATTATTACGGCAGCACAAGCGTCCCTGAATGCTGGATTGTGATTTGACTCGTATGGGAGATTTTGAGCCATGGTCGGCGTCTTATGATGAATCGGAATGTCTTTTGAACCACACACGGCCACTACCTCTTGACGGCGTTCCAGACCAGGTGTTTGCTTCGAGTTGCCTTGATATGCTCCATATGTGTTCCATCAGCGTGTGATAGTCTTGCCATGACGCCCTCCGACTCATCTTACGTCGTCTTGCTGGTTGTCAACTGCTCAGCAAACCTCATGTCTCGTAACATGTCTTGTATCCTAACGCACAAAACGCTTCCGCAATACTCGTTCAATATTCAGGTTGTCCAGGTAACTGGTGGAGCTCGTGATGGCGACTTGGGACACACATATCGCACAAGACATAGCGTATCCCTCCTTGTTAGCTTTGTCTCTGGGTTAAAGGAGACTGTAACAAAGTTGATGGCCACATGCTGCGCCTCTGTTAGATCATGTGCCCTTGTTGTTGCCAACGCAAGTTGATGATAGACTTCCCAGGCAGAATGGTTACACAGGACTGGACATCAAACACAAGACCAGACAACGCCCACAAGCGATGTTAATGATCACTCTCTAGATATATAAGCTTAGTTTCTAGAAACAAGATCCAACTGTCTTCTTCAACATGGGCCTACAAAGCCACATCATGGATACATCTCTTCTACCTTGCTTCATGGGCATACGATAGAGGCCATTGACTATGCCAGCTCTGTACACTCACAGGAGCTTTCATCGCTGCCGTCATATCTAGTTGCTTTCAGCTATTGCATCTACAAGGTCAGCGGTCTCAATGACCTGATTTCTATTCGGCTCCCTCTTTGTGTGTGGTATCATGGCTACTAAAGATGGAAGTTGTACCAAGTCAAACAGGGAACAACTTGTACGCCGCCCCGATATCCTTCCACCCAGATTTTAATGATCAGCTGAAATAATGCTAAAATCCACAGGTGGTTTGAAACTAGGGCTATGTTTACAATGTTGTCGCAACCCCGTGGGGAACATGGCGTTGAAGGGTGGAACTAATAAGATATCGAGGATCTGTTCACCAACAGCATCCAGTGTTCAAGATAGCTTTATACACTAGATCATCCGGGAGGAGTCTAGTCAAAGGGGTATATGCAAGTCAATTATCACATGGAGCTTGATTCTTGGCTCTTAGCTCTTGACCTGAAGCCAGTTAACCTCCAGGGGAACTGGCTCACAAGTCCCGGCAACCAAGATCCATGAGCTATAATGCACTGCAGCGGCTACTAAAGGACCCTTCAAAGGACTCCGAGCTTTGTATTTGCTCAATAATTCAATAAATGAGACGTCTGGGTGAGGTCAGAGTAGCTGCCCCTCTTGAGCTGCTTCGAGACCCAAGGCTGGAGAGAGACTAAGTTTCTGGGGAACAGCTAATGCTCAAGTTATTTAACCTCATAGCATACCCAAAGGTAGATCAAGGAACAGCCAATGCTCGTCTGAGAATTCATGATATTTACAAAACATGGCAAGGTATCATGAACGGGGAACGCGGTTCACAAGAGCAACACCCCAAAATGTTATCTCGTATCTTGCCTGATAGGCACATTCGGGACGAACAAGCTCACGGCATATTTCTGCCGCTAGTAAACTTTCAGGTCCCGAGTCGACCAAGGCACAGTGGCACCAGGGCAATAAATGGTCTGATAACACCATTCTCTTCGTCTTCTAGGGCCATGCTAGTCCTGTTGTGGCTTTCCCACTGCGACAGTAACCAAGTTTAATCGTGCTACCGAGCATTGGCTCCAGGGCTACCGTTGCCGCCGGTGCCTTGAAGAGATCCAAGTACTGTAGACTTGGTAATGGGCAAATTCGAGATGTGTAGTAGGGCGTGAAATGAGGGTTCGCTTGGGCCACCATGATCTGAGAAGTCAAGTCACCGCCGTTGCTCGACGTCTGCTCAGGCGGCTCGGCTCTGAACAAGCAAGAAAAGAAAAACTTGGCTGGCAAGCCATGCAGCATGCAGCTTGAGCTTGGGGAGGCTAGGCGAGGCAAAGTCGTGTCGTCTCACATGGAGGTATCTATCCCATGTCGTCTTTCTCCTGCTCATGCCTCTCTCTGCATGGGTGACGCCGCATTGCGCTGCAACCAGCCGGAAGACCCGGGTGTTGCTGGATTCCATGTGGCCATTTGAGTTCATCCGGTCGAATCAACGAACCAATGTCTCGGCCTTGGACACCGGCATTGAACATTGGAGGAACATATCCAATCCCGCCCTCGTGGTAAGGGTGTTTCAGCAGGTGGAGAGCTCGACACCATCACCCAAGCTTTGCCCGCGCAGTCTCGAACCCAAAGATGCGATGCGTTGGGCCAGCTGAAAATTGCCTGCCAGCCAGCTCAGCCCAGCAACAGGAGCTATCTCGCTCTGGGTGGAGAGCTTCAAGAGAAATGCAGGGAGAGAGGATCGTTCGGAAAGTCTTTTGCTAGCCTGAAAAGACATGGGCTTCCTGCAGGCCGGGGGCTTTGATCGTCGGGCTTACCGGGGCAACCAGCCAATTCAACGTTGGCAGACGGGAAATTCGATGATCGAGGAATAGCTCTGGAAAGTAGGTGAGAGCCAAAACTCGGTAGAACTGGCGGTATTTGGGCAACAAGCCTGTCAATGTTTGGTTCTTGGGTGGTTGTTACCCATCATTGACACCCAGTTTCATCTCACAGGTGCAAAAGAGCAATTCGAGACAACAATTCCAAGGAACAGAGTCCATCCAAAGATGAGTGCATGGACGGCCAAGAGGCCAAGATCTCGCCAATGTGCGCCTTATTTACCGGGGCCTCTCCCGCCCGTAGGGCCTCAGCGCCTGAGAGGAGGTGGTGCAGTGTTGGAGAAAGGGCCGATCGAGGGAGCATCGAGATTCGACTGTGGCCCTCATCGTGGCTGAGCTCCTCTCCGAGTTTCGTCTTTCCTGTACATCGCAGCGCAGTGCATCCAGCGGGAGGAGACGCCTCAAGGGCCCATCCTGTCCTCTCACACGAAGAGGTTGCGAGAGGTTGCGAGACGAGAAAAGATGGTGTGTGGGAGCCACCCAACACGAGATAAAAAACAGGGGCGAGGCAACCGATCAGCCCCCCGCGGCCAAAGTCAACGTCAAGATGACCTCTGTTGGGGAAGTGTCCGTTCAGCAAAGCCTCTAGCGGACCTTGATTAGCCACCTCCAGCTGGACCAGCCCTGGACCGACCCGAGACGGCCTCTGCCCTGACTTGACCGACCACTGGGGGGGGGGCTCTGCTTGCACCACTTAACGCGCGCGCGTGCTGTACGGAAGACGGCCGCGGCAGGGCAAGGCGTGAGACTGCAGCAACCAACCCAACCCAACGCACGATTTGATGCATGAGCATGGAGCCGAGGACGTGGCAGACAGAGACTAGGTCTGCCGAGAAGGAAGCCCTTGCTGTGTTGTTTTTCTTTAGACGAGGGTCGATTTTTTAAACATTTTTTCCAGCCCCCGAGAGTGCCATGGGGTAGAGTTGGATGGTTGGTAACAATGGTGTTTTTCGTGGGTAGCAAAAGTTGACTTTATGGCGCTGACGGGCGGCCACTACTCGATATGGTACAGTCCACTACAGTACGGGGCGCAGCAGCTATCACCGCTGACTGATGCGAGAGCAAACAAGACTATCTTTATCTTGCTCGGATGCAACTGGATTCTTCGTTTTAGGTTTCCTTCTGGCCCACTGGCCCGGGTACAAGGTACGAGCCCTGGTTGCATTTTTACAGCTATTCCCTCCTTCTATTGGATCCCCGTGGGAATCCTCGTAGCTCTTGTTCGGCAACGACGCACGTCGTGGCTGTCACCGCAGTAGCCGGGGGATGAGAAAAGACGCGTCATGGTCAGATGGATGGTCTGGTGTGTCTCGATGCTCCCGAATCTTGCTCCGTTCGTTCGCTCCCCTGGCCGCTCTTCGCTGGCTGCTGTGTCGGAGCCATCCATGGATCTCGAGAGGCTCGTTTACTAGCTGAATGCGCTGCGCTTCGCTGTAGCCCTCCCTGGACGCGCATGTGTCGCCTCCAAAGGACCCATTTCAACTGTCCATCCGTTGCCCATATTGGATGCCCGAGAAGCTGATTGCTACTGAATCCGCGTAAACCCCAAGTCACAAGCAAGGCAAGAACACGAGGATGGAAGGTACCTTACATACCGACCCAGCACATCACCTCACTTAAAATATCCATATGTCGACTGTCCCCCTCACACTCCCCGAGTGATCTTATTTTTTGTTTGGAAAAGAAGAAGGCTTCCCTCTCTCTCGCTCAATTCCTGCGGCTGCGTCGTCTTTCGTTATTGTAATTATTTCCTCTCACGCGCTCGAGCCGTCAGTGTCAGTCAGTCATCCTTCTCCAGTCCATCCATCTATCGGTACTGCACCTCTTCTGGATCCTGGTCGAGTGATTCGGAGCAATCAATCCCACGAGCAAGGCATTCTCACCCGTTATTGGGCCATTCCCCTCGATCAAAGCGCTCTATCCACGACACGACATTACCGACATACTCCAGGTTTTCAACTAATTACCCTTAATTGCGGTGGCACCTTGCTTGAAGGTGAATACCACGTCTGCCGCCATCAATCAAATCCCATCGTGGCGCCAGCCCATCTCGAGATAAGGACATTCGCTGAAGTATCCCTGCCTGGCCTCCCCGAGCACCACGGAACACTCGAAACCCGATCTCCAGCCCCCCGCCACACTCACGCAAGTGGTGGCCACGCCTCAGTCCGGACCCATCAAAACCTCCGCACCCACGAGGCCTTGGCAGGTTTGAGCGTCCCCCTGTGCTCCAGCAATCAAAGGCAGCCAGTGCAGCAAGCCACTCTGGACGACCGACTCACTGAACGTGGCACGGCTCAGTTCCCCCTGTTATTAGTCGCTCCGGCCGAGATTGGAGACCGTCCTAGTCGATAGTGACGTCAGGACTCAGCGCCAAAGACAGAAGGAGAAAAAAAGTTGACCGGTTCTGACGCAAGCACTTGCGAAGTGCTGTTTCGAGAACGATCACCAAAGAAAGGTGGGCTTCAAACAGCATCACCGACAAAGGGATATTCAACCCGAATTACGGCAAGACAAGCAGAGACGGAAAGGGAAAGGAAGATACAAGGAGACATCCTTGCGAGTACCAAGAAAAGGACCGCCACCTCCACCTCGAAGCTGTGTACCTGCCTACCGTAGGTACGGAGTACATACAGCAACGGCAGCGCATTTCCGGTGCAGATCTCACATCACTATCACGCAGCCACCGCTAGAGCAACAAGAAATTCAGCATTGCAACCCAACTGGAAGTCTACTCTTATCCACGGTCACTCTCCTCGCCCACATCCCGGTCGGGTTTATTGGCCTGTTTCACAACCGCGATAAGAACAAGATTTCAGTACCTGGTTGCCCAGCCGCTCAACCTACAGTCCAGTACAGGACAGTATCAGAGGTGCTAATCCCGGCTGACCACGGCATCAACGAATGATCACGTCGTCCAGCGTACGGAGCTAAACACACTTGCAGCTGTATTGCAGTACCTACAGCACAGCTCACAAAGAAAGTACCGAGTTACCTCGTTGGAATCTGGAGCGGCTTGTCGAGCCACTCGCAACCCCTACTGCGACACCCAGACGTGCCTAGCTCTCTCGGCGCCGGCGCCTGTCCACGAGTCGGATCCACCCTCTGTCGTCTCTGACCAGGTTCATCTTTGATAGCCCCCCAAGCTCCGCCGGAAGCAGCCCACTCTGCCGCTCCCACGCCCCAACCTCTTCCAGAGTCGTCCTGCGCCAGCTACTCTTCAAGGCCCCAAATCTCCACTCGCAAAAATATCCCATCTCCCAGGCCCACGACGCTTCCTACTCTTCCTTGCTAGTAGCCGTTTGGCTTTGTTTCGGCCTCTCTCCCCGACATCGTTGCTCCTTGCTCCTTGCTCCTTGCAACCTCTTGTCCACAATCTCCATCTCATCGGTCGATTGCCAGCGTCACTCCGCTTGACTTATCACCCTAGTCGCAAGCGCAAGGGCCGTCTTCGAGATCCATCCAGTCCCAGCAACCATATCAAATAAAACAGTCGTCTCCCCAAGCGCCCGCAACCATGGCGACCTCCACGGACCAGTATCGCCAATACCCACCGCCGTCGAATTATCCGGCCCAGCAATATCAGCAGCAGCCCTATCAGCAGCAGCAGCAGCAACAACAACAGCAGCAGCCGCACTATCAAAACTCCCAGACCCTGCCCCAGTCTCAGTCCCAGACCCAGCCGCGCCGGACCTCACAGAACCCACCCGCCGATCATCGAACCTTCAGTTTTCATTCTCAACGATCGCATAAGAGCTCTGGGAGCAAGGATTTGCAGGAAACACACGCAGAGAAGGAAGCAAAACGTCTACACAGCAAAGCCGACCCCACCTTGGCTATCAGCGAAGCAGAGCCATGTATGTCATGCTATTCACTCCGTATGAAGGCGATCAGGAGTCAACTAACACGGAATCAGCTGTTGTCGCCGCCATGATGACCGAGTCGACCTACGCGCCTCTGCGCTCAGTACAACACAAGGATACATTCGGAAACGCCATCGGTTTGTCGCCTCATTCACCATCGCACCAACATTACTAACATTCAACTCGTAGCCGATCCCGACAAGTCGAACCCTACTCGAAACAGATGGGAACGCCCGCTGGACACAATTCGAAGTTTCGAGGCCGCGATTGACGGTGGTTACTCACGCAAGTCGCTCTATCGAGCAGGTGAGTCAAGATTTGACCTCGGACTAGGTCAGACCACTAACACCATGGCAGAGACAGACTCACAAACCAATTTCAACCGACGCAACAGTTCCTTTACCAGCCCCAACCAAACTCGTTATCCTCATGACAGCTACTATGGTCGACCTACGTCTATGAGGCCCGAAAACTCACATTACGAGTCGGGACCTCCCCGAAGCAGCTACTTTGATGGGCAGGCTTACAACAACGGTTACGGAACCGGGCCGTCGCGGCAACGGATGTCTAGGTTACAGTCGGAGCCACAGTTGCAAAGCCACGGACGTGACCAGAACATTTACCCTTTGCCTCACAAGGATCGATCATATGAGACCGTGACATCTGCAGCGGGCAGCGGCAACTCGGATCAGGCAGGATACCAGACGGACCCCACGAGCAGCGACAACAGCTCGATCGATCGGACAATGCCGGCTAAGCGCCGCGAACCTTTCAATGAGCATGGCTCCGCTCCCAACATGGCACAGCAACCGTATCAGCCCCGACCCTGGCCGGGCTCCGGCCCAGGCGCTAATGGAAACGGAAAACAACCACAAGGACCGCCGCCTCCACAGGCGCGACCTACTGCAGCACAACAGCCACCAGCTGCGGCTCAGAAACCGAAACACACGCTTCTGAGGCGGACATCGACCCAACAGTCGCAACAGTTGCAACGGCCCGAGTCTGTCAGTGGCGAAAAACGTAAGAGTTGGTTCGCTCGCCGGTTCAGCAAAAACACTTGAGAAAATCGATGGTTTAATCGATTATAACGACTACACACACACACACACCGCACGTACATGTACACGTGCACGCACGTGCATACGCATACGCACATTCTTATGCTCTTACTCTCCTTTGTTGATACCCGTTTTCTTGATCTTGAAGATCAACTGTGCTTCAAGCGCAGCACTTGACTTCAAGCAATCCGCTTTCCACTTCTCTGGTGGGCGCGGAATATTCTGTGCGATGAACTGCGATTGTCTGTGGGGGAGCAAGGACAGCAACTTTTTGGGCTACTTTGGACGGGTCGCGTTGATGAGTTTCAAGACCTTGACTAAGGAATGGAAGCAAGGCATACGAAGGGATCTGGCTGAGGAGATGGTACATAGGCACACGAAACTGTACGAGGCGTTGGCGGATTCAAGTTTGTGCAACTCATTCCTTGAGGATATCCAGTGGAGGAAGGGAGAGCAGATGACGGATCTATCCGCCACGGCCAAGACTAATCATGCTCAGGCTCTGGAACGTACATATAGCATATACACGTGGCTGCAGGCAGAGGTCGCTCAGGCATGGCTCGTCGAGAGGACGGGTTCATGGAAGCGATGAGAGAAAATAATTTTGATGGCGATCCGATATCTATGAGTGTACCAAACCCGCGAGTGATCAAGTGAAAGATTGTGACATTGTGTGAGCAGAATGAGTTGTGAAGGGGTAATGGCAATATGCGAACGACCATGGCTCCAACTATTGATCCTTTTTACTGTCAGACTTTGGTTTACTTGGCTGCTCAGTGTTCTCCTCCTTCATTGCGACGATGATATATGCAACCAGCACGACATTGGCCATGACAGCAGCAAAGCCACCAGCGAAGGATGAGTTGCCTGGGAGTGAATGGTTAGCTGAGACGTGATGATGACGACACCTTACGGAAGAGAAGAGAGGCATACCCCGGAAGATGGTATTAACAGTGACAAAGTAGGATCCGATAGGAAGGACAATCATGCCGATAGTAAAGGCCAAGAGCTTGTAGATGACATCGCTGTTAAATTTAGTCAGTTTTGTTTTTCATCTCGACGCGGTGGGATGAGTGGTGATGGGATAATGTGAGATGAGGACACAGAGGACAGTACTCACTTTGGCACAGCAGGAGCAATGTTGGACTTTTCCTCAATAGGATCATCCTTATCGAGGATGGTCTTTTCAGTCGCAATGATACGTCGAGTCGCCATTTTTTTTGATATGGCAGATGAATGTGAAGTGGTTTGGGGGAATATCAGATTGAACGGAGTCGAGCTGGATGAGTTTCAGTGAGAGCCAAGCAAGACACGGGAGGCTTGAGGCTCATGTCCCACCTGCACGTGCAACCTAGCCAGCACTGAGGGTTGGTTTTAGTGAGAGCACTTGCCAAGCGATGGCCAACGCTCAAGATGTGATTTGAAATAAAGAAATATTCTTTGTCCTCACAAAGAGTCCAACATAGTTTAAATCAAATATTTGCTATTAATAACAGTATCTAGCACTGATTCTTGACCTTCTTCATGTCCCATCCTGCTCCCATTCTCCCTTCAATAGCACGTGACTTCGCGATGCCGATCGTGTGCTAGTCTGGTGTGTAGTGTGGCGGAAGCGCGTCTCGTCTTGAACAAACGGGCTCGAAAAAAACTCCACCCTCTCTCGGGGTCAGCCACCAACGAAACCGAGCCCTCTCACGCTCGTCGACACCGCAGGAGTTTCCATTGTCAATAACGAGCACTGACAACGCAGTGTCCGCCCTGACGCTTCCTTTCTTTCTCGTCAAATGGCCCCTCTTGTTCTCATTCTCTGCCTTCCATCCCACTTTGGGGCATAATCGCTAATTCAAACAAACGCTCTCTTACCAAAACGAACCAATTCTCTCGCCCCCGCCTCACCTCGCCCTCAAACAACACAACCCATTCTCCCTCTATTGTCATTTTTTCCCTTTTGGGAATTATTCAACATGGCGCGAAGCTCCTCGCCGTTACCAATTAGGCATTCAAACGCCGTACCACGAACGCCCTCGCTCGCTCGCAACACGATACTCATCGACGATGCCGACGAACTAGGAGCAGAAACCATTCCTTGCTCACCCTCCGCCTTTCTTCGCGATCGTGAAACAACACAACCAACTCAGATTCTTCAAAAGCCCATGCTTGCATCTTTGAGATCGTCTTCTCCTGCAAGCAGCATCATTGAAGTCCCTGCGTCCTCGCCTTTTCAACAACCCAAAAAGTCCACGCCCCTAGCAACCACACGACTCGCCCCTGTCGGCACGATATTCCGTCCGCCCCAGCGGCCAACTACCACCATGCCCAACAAGCGTCCAGCAATGGACCCCATCAACCTCATCTCTGACGACGAAGATGACCTCACTCCTCCCCGTGGAGACATTCGGCCGACGACGTTTAAGGCGCAGATCTCGGCCTTTGCATACGACCCTGAGGCGGATGAGAGACAGGTTAGAAGCAGGCTCCGTCAAATCTTTGACGTTTTCGGGGACAGAGTGCCCTCAGAAAAGGCCAGAAGTGCGCTGAAGGCATGCCACAACGATATCGACGACACAATCCTTCTCCTGGAGCGACAAATGTCACAGCAACGACAAAAGCCTGCGCTCAAGCCCAAGAGACGTCTTATCAGTAAGGGTGCTCTACAGTCAGTTGCTATTAGTAGCCGAGATACATCCCGTTCTCAATCTCGCACGGCATCTCCAAGCCCTCAGAAACCTCGACGACGATTGATACAAGGTCGACGAAATCCGCCCGAGCCCTCCTCCCAAGTTTCTCTTCCTGAACTTCCCTCGAGCGACGATCCACTGGTTATCAACCTCGTTGACGATGACAAGGAGGATACATACCAGGCAGAGGCTTCACCAGAGCCGACCGACGACGCTGATGACAAGGTGCTAAACTACATCAACACGAGCACAATTCAAGAATTGGCGGCCATGACGGGCATGAAGGAGTCTCAGCTCGAGTGCATGATTGAGAAGCGGCCATTCGACGATCTTGACAAGGCCAGAAGGGTAACTATTGGAAAGAAGCCAGGTGCTCGGAAGGCATCCAAGATCAGCATTGGTGATAGCGTCGTCGACGCCGTTGGAGTCTTCCTCGACGCAGTTTCCGCAATTGACCAGGTCGTTGCCAAGTGCGAGGCCGATGCCAAAGCTATCAAGGGTCAGGTCGACACATGGGATGTCGACACTTTTGGTCATGACAAGCGGGCACGACGTCAGACCTCGGAAGAGAATCTTCCTCCCACCCCGACAAGTTTCAGCACTGTCAAGTATGTTCGTCCTCCCATCCCTCGTCAGCCTCGCTTCATGGATGGACACTGTGAGATGAAGCCATTCCAGCTTGTCGGTCTCAACTGGATGTCTCTACTATACAACTTCAACATTGGGTGTATCCTGGCCGACGAGATGGGTCTGGGCAAGACCTGCCAGGTCATCTCACTCATCTGCCACCTGGTCGAGAAGTACAACGACAACCCCAGCCGGAAGCGACCTTGGCCGAACCTCATCGTCGTTCCTCCTAGCACATACAACAACTGGCTTGCCGAATTTGAAAGGTTCGCTCCTGATCTGTCAGTAATCGGATATCGAGGCTCTCAGACCGAGCGAGCTGAGATCGCCTACGAGGTTGAACAAGAGCCAGAGGCGTTCCACGTCGTCCTTGCGACCTACTCTCAGATTAACAACATTGCCGATATCGAGGCCATGCAGTCATTCGAACTCAACGCTGCCATCTTCGATGAGGGTCACAAGATGAAGAATCCCGAGACCAAGATCTACAAGGACCTCCGCCGCATCACTGCGCAATGGAAGATGCTGCTTACAGGTATGTCGCTCACTTACTCACTCGATCAACATGGACACTGCTAATAAACTGTAGGAACTCCTGTTCAAAATAACCTCTTGGAGATGACATCTCTACTCAACTTCATCAACCCCGAAATGTTCAACAGCTGTATGGAGCATATTCAGTACATCTTCAGTCAAAAGGTCACCATCAGGGACGTCTCGAACGGCGCTTTCCTATACAGCGAGCGTGTCAAGCGAGCCCGCACCATCCTGGAACCCTTCATTCTCCAGCGTCGCAAGGATCAAGTCCTGTCGGATATGCCTCCAAAGATCTGCAATGTCGTCCATTGCGAGATGAGCGAGAATCAGAAAGCAGTCTATGCCGAGTACGAGGAGGTGTTCCGACAAGAGCCATCTCAACGTGCCAAGAAGGCTCGTGGTCGTCAAAACGACCTGAACAACGTCTGGATCCAGCTTCGCAAGGCTGCGCTGCACCCTCTCCTATTCAGACGCCACTTTGATGACGCCAAGGTGGGGAAGATGGCTCAGATCCTGATGGACCATGTGTCGCAGGATGAGCTACACCAGCCCGATATCAAGCACCTTATCCAAGAGCTCAAGAACGCTTCCGACTTTGAGCTACACCTTTGGTGTCGTGACTATCCCAAGCTTCTCGGACGATTTGATGTTCCTGAGGAAACCGAGATGGACAGTGGCAAGGTCAAGAAGCTGCTTGAGCTGATCCAACAGTACCAAGAGAATGGGGACCGGGTCTTGGTGTTTAGCAAGTTCTCGCGCGTCATTGAGCTCCTGCAGGAAGTCCTCTCTCTGAAGGGAATCCAGCACCGCATCTTGATGGGCAACACCAACGTCTCTGAGCGTCAGACTCTCATCGACGAATTCAACGATGACCCCGAGATCCCAGTGTTCCTCCTCACCACTGGAGCCGGTGGCACAGGCATCAATCTCACAGCCGCCAACAAGGTCATCATCTTTGACCAGTCAGACAACCCTCAGGATGACATCCAAGCCGAGAACCGAGCCCATCGTCTCGGTCAGAAGCGCGACGTCGAGATCATCCGACTCATCGCATCGCACACTATCGAAGAGCTTATTTACAAGGCCTGCCAGAAGAAGATTGAGCTCGCCAACAAGGTCACAGGCGCTGTCGAAGACGAAGATGCTGCCGTGGCCGAGCAGAACCTTGAGACTGAGGTTCGCAAGATGCTCATGGAGGAGCAGATGACGCCGCCATAGGACGAGGCGTCGGATCCCTTCTAATCAAGTCTCATCGAACGACGAGGCATTGCGTCTTACACCTTCAATGTCGTTTTTCTCACATTTCTTCATGATTCACACATTGTCAGAAACATTTATATTTCTCTGCACGGCATAGCAGAGCGGTTGGCTGTGTCAAATTCCATCAACTTGCATCCCAAGACCCTTGGACGGTTTTTATTCCCCGTCTTTTATTATCATGACCAGTGTCGTCTTCCTGAGTCGGTCTCCCGCCCGAGTCTCGTCTCAAAACTCATCTGCATCGGAAAAGTCTACAGGGTCTTGCGCGTAGCATGGAAGGGGGAAAACACTTTGTATGGATGTTGGTTTGTCTTTTTTTTTCTCAATGAACATACACGGATAGGCGAGGGGGGGCAATGGACAGGGGACAGGAATGGTTATGATTTGCTATAGGTATTTTTTCTCAACTTTTTGGAGCCCATGGTTTTATAGAAGATACATTAGGGAAACTGAGCACGAAGCATCAAAATCAGTTTTATCATGATATGAAAAAGGGTACCTTTATGAACTCGTTATTGACGGTTGCACCCGTAATGTCTCGTCCTTATCACCATCAAGGTTACAGTTAGAGGCAGTTGAAAAAACTAGGGTCCATTCCATTTCGTCAGGGTCACGCACCAACCTCCTTTAGCACCGGCCCGTCAACTGAACTATCCGTCCGTCGTCCCCCCGCGCAACGCTAGACCCTGACCAAAAGTCCAAGCGCAATAATAACACAAATAAAAGAAGAAGAAAGATTGTGTACACACACGAACACCAGCAGCGGTGAGAGGAGCCTTCAGTCAGACCGTGCGCCTCCCGTCCTTTTTGACCACGGGAACGGGGATATAGGAGGGGGTGACAAGGTTTGACGCGGAAGCCCGGGTCGAGGGTCACATTGCGTTCAGTGTTGGATCTTTTTTCAACCGTCATGGCTTCTTATTGCCATGTGGTTGGTTACAGGGCATTTACACTTCAGCCATGGTCCATGAGCCAGACGGGAGACGGGAGAGACGGGAAGCCGTTGAGGTTATCGGCGGTGAATGGAATGTGACCATGAGACAGTTGAATATTGGATGGATAGATTTCTTCATGGAAGATTCCCTAACCTCTATAGTAACCGCTACCTGTCCAGCAGCATAAAAAAAAAACCATGTCCAATGACCGACCGACCTATTCTCGATCCCCCAAAAAATCAAACACGAAACTTGAAGATGCGCGTTGCTTGTGCGCGAGGATATCACTATTACAAAACCAGATAAATAATAACCAAAAAAAAACTCCGAGGACATCCCATGTCCATGCCTGTAGATCCTGTTCTTTTGATGTGAAGGTGGTTTCCTTCGTGGCCATCGCGATGGGTTGGCCGAGACTTGCGCTGATAGAGAAATGGAAATCAAAGATGGAAAGATGATGTACAAGAAAAGGTGCAAGAGCGTGATCTCAAAGATCTGGTCGCCATTACCAGGTTGAGTGTAGCTTGCTTCGGCGACCAGATCGCGTCTTGAGGCCAACGTCGCCGTTCATTATCAGACTCTTCCAGCGACGGTTTACGGCATGGCGATCGCGGCCGAGGTTTCGGGCGCAATCTTGCCATTCAGTCTTGGATAGCTTGAGCTTCTCGAGTACAAGTTCGATGAGGATGCGATCATCCTCAGCGGTCCAATCTTCTTCTCCCGCTTCGGCGCTGTTGTTTTCGGTGGTGGTGTTGCCCTGCATTCTGTGGAAGTCGGATCGCTCGAGACCAAGAGGGAGTTGTTCAGGAGCGATGCGCGTGCGCTTGGGTGTTGAGGGTGCAACTGGTTCGGTGGGCGGGCATGGCGACGACGGCGCCTCACTAGCCGAGTCACTTTCGGAACCATAGCGGTCTGCATCGTCCTCGGGTGTGCGGCGTCTCTTGTTGGCGCCACGCGGCGGAGCGCGCTTGGTGATCTTCTTGGGTCCGACCGGCTCACGGCGATTGTCGCGCGACCGAAGGCGCAGCTTCAGCGGAGGAGGCGCGTGGGCGAGCGGCGGCGTGGGTAGTTGAGCGAGCGATGGCATGGCGCGTGAGTCGGTGATGGGCGCGGGATTGGCGAGCAGAGACTGAAGAGAGCGGCAAGTTGTCATGATGTTGGCGAATGGAGCGTGCGACGGGGGGCTGGCGGGAGGAGAGAACAGAGAGGGTTGGAGTCGAGGCTGGGAGGAGTGCGACGAGTGCGACGCATCGCACGACAGAGCGGACGGGAGAAGCATGGTGGCGATTGTTGACTTTCGAGAGGTGGGAGTGAGAAAGACGACGACTTCTGGAGTTGTTGTGTTTTTTAATATAAAGTCGAGCCGGGTGGTTGGCGAGTGGTGCGATTGCGACCAGGATAAAGTAGGCGACAGCGCGCAAAACCAACAGAGGCAGCGACTTGATGTAGAGTATGCGCGCGCGCGTCGAATGGAGTATAGATTGATATGAAGACGATGATGATGCGACGCGATACAATGCGATGCGAATGGAGTCGTGGTTATTCCTCGTGAGAGAAAGAGAATGTTTGTGTTTGTTGTAGGGGGAAGTGTTGGTGTCTGGTTGTCGGAGTGAAGAGCAGGCGAAATGCGGTGGTGGTGGTGGGAATTGGAATGAACGGGGGGGTCGGTCACCTCAGGCAAGTGCGAGTGAGTGCAAGTACGGAGTAGGTGGGTGGGATTGAATTGGAATGGGATGGGAAGGGGCAGGGCAGGGGACACTGGCCTAATATGGATTGATGGACCCTCAGAAGGCAGGCACAGTACGCACAGTCGGGGCCCTCCAAGGCAGGCGCCAGTGCAAGCCCAAGCCCACAGTGAGTGACTTGCACACCTAGCGTGCGCGGCTGCACCGTCCAGAGACAGTGCAGACAGCGACATACGTGAACCCGCCATGGCCGTTGGCGTTTTAGCGGGCACGACGGGGGGTGAGACCCCGTGCACCACCTGATCGCCCGACCCTGCCCTTGGGACCCGACATGTCTGTCTGATGGACCCATCCATTCCCAGTCCCGGTTGCTTCTGTCCATGGTGCTGTCGATGCCTCGAGCCCGGGCGTTGGGGTGGATGAATGACCTGCCTAAGGATCCATCCATTTACAGGGGATCTATCAGTGCAAGTGCAGGGGATGGACCACACGAGAGGGCGTACTCGTGTACGTACCCCAGTGACAAGCGCGGCCTCCATCTCGAGACATGGGACATGGGACATGGGACATGGGCACCAGAGACAGCCGCTTGCGGGTATCGATTTTCTCATGGACAGTCTACGACCCTGGATTTGATCTTGTTCACACGGGTCCGGGGTGTGAGATACATCTCTCCGTAGCGAGAAAATGCACGTCTGGCAGGTAACTCCCTGTGGCAGCCGGACACTGTACCAAGAACATCTGCTGCCCTTCTCCGTCATGGCCAATCAGACAGACACGCTTGAGACATTCTTTTCTTCGTCTCAGTCCTTCCTTCCTCAACAACATCCATCCATGAGGAATTACCCGCAACCGGCGAGACAAAATCCAATGCAAAGCAGAGCCTTTTGTTTTTCCTTTCTTCTTTCTCAGGTCTTGTGTGCATGATTTCCCGTCTCTCCATCCTTGGTGCAACACGACAACTGCCCCGGTTATTTTGATTTGTTTTCTTTTCCCTGGCTCTTTCTAGACTCCCTCCCGTCAGTTCCATCTCCACTGATGATGTCCTCAGTGCTTGCTCTCCCTCTTCATATTGTCTCCCTCTTTGTGCCCTCTCCCTCTTTTCATGTCTAACAAGGCTTTATTGCCTTGTTCAACGTCTTCATCTACGTCATCCACCGCCCTATTTGCTTCTCCCTCGGCGAAAAGAAACGAAACCTTTAATGAACCCCCTTACCTGACCATGCAAGAAAGAACCAGGCCAGGCAGGTCCCAGACAAGCAGATGCAGATCCGATCTGAGTCCCTCTGTCCGATTATGTGCAGCTGCGATGCGACGCTTGAGCCCGTGTCTGGGGCCGCCGCCGCTTCTCATCTTCAACGCAAGCCAGCGAGCGTCAGGAACCCGAGGTGGAAATAAGGAAAAAGAAACGACCAAATCTAGCAGACATCCACCATCATACGACTTGCTGCCGCCTCTTCTCGTCTTGGTCGGAATACATCGTAGATTACCCTTCCCCATGAATCTTTCTTTTTTTTTTTTTTTTTCTGACCTGTCGATATGCCATATTCCAAAAGGTTGGTCTTGATGCCATCGCCAGGCTCCGGCCGGTGGTAGTAGCAACAGCCGAACCGCCCGGCTGAGCAAACAGCCGCACTTGATCTTTTGTTGGGAATAACAAACGAGGCGAGGTATCGACGATGGATCAAGCCGCTTTCTCCCAAGTGCCGAAATGGAGGGGTTCGTCCTCCCTCTCTGCCTTGTATCCCTCCATCCATCTCATAGTGTTTCTCGGCCTATTCCACCATGACCCTCCCTGGCAAAAAAGACTGCACCGTTTTCGGGCTCGATGCTGCCCCTCACTGACTCAAGAAACCAGGCTACTCCTGCGACCATCACACGCAGACAAGGGTTTGAAGCACAGCCAGGCACACCAGTTACGGGCTTTTGTGTGTGACTAGCGCATAGAGGTCTCAGACTCCAATGCTCAAGTCTAAGACCTTGACCGCCGGCTTGGGTCGTTTAATCCGTCACTATCGGCGTGTCAGTCTCTTGCGTCTGTCCCTCCACCCGGGAAAGGACTTGGGTTGATATTGTTCGGGGCTCACGTAACGAGGCACAGCCAATTTATTATTTCCTGATCAAAGACATCAGCTCACGGATCGAGCGGACAGAGCAGCCAGTGTGCGACAGACTGTTCATGATGAATTCTCCGCCGACGCACGTTCCGCAGCTGGATGCTACCGCAACACTCGCCTATGGGGCTACGGAGTGGGAGTGGGAGCGTCCCGTCGCGAAGCGGACGAGCTACGGCCGCTCCCACGTTGATACGCTGCAGGGACTGGGTCTGTCGAGTGACGACAGCGACTGGCGGACGGCTGCGGCGTCAACTCAGGCCCTGATCGAACCTCTCTCACCGTCACTCGATCCCAGGATGGATGGTACAGATACTGTATCGGCGCAAGTGTGTTCGGCGTGTGACCTCTAGTTGAGACCTCCATTACAACCGAGTCGGTGAGGTCATGGTGCCCCCCATCTCGTTCTCATCATCTCCCACACACACACACTCCCTTCACGTCGGAAGAAGGCCCGCGTGATTCGCCGACCAGACGGGCCGGAAGCGTCCAAGGTGACGCTTCCATCAAGGTGAGCACTTGCAGCTTTCGATGAAAGCTGAAGAGTGCATCTTATTACGAGATGGATGATGCAGAATAATTTCATCGTGGCGAACATTTTCAGCTGTCGGACTTGGTTGTACCTCGATTCACATGGCGAGTGTTCCCCTCGTCATCCAACGCCCGCCGACCTGCACGTCGCTCGCTCTGGGTCTTCGCATTGCAAAAGGAAAGAGCGTCGCGGTCATGCTGCTTCTCTGCAAGTCATCGCTCACACATGGCACGGCGCATGCGGGCTCTACTGGATGCCATTGGCTCTTCTGTGAAGTCATGCTCCTCTTTTTTGCGCGATTACCGCTCAAGATCGCGAAAAGGACGCGCATGAGGTTGAGAAAAACGCGTGTGAGACGCGTACGACGCGTTAATGAAAAGATGCATCAGTTTGACTCTGGCCAATAGAAGAACACCAAATTCTGGGTATATGTGGGGAGGGTCTGCAACCACTTCCGAACATGGCCTGTGCGTGCATCAAGTACCTGTCGCTCCTGCCGTGACAGGTCGATACAGTGCGTCGAACCCTTCTTCTCACAGTCCAAAGTTGGAACAAGACGGCGGTTATCGGACTGGAGCCCTAGGTTGGCTAAGCCTGATCCTATGTTACAGAGTGCGTGGATCCATTCTTCGACTATCCAAGTGAATTGGATCGTGTCGTGTCCTTGCTTCACCGATAGAATTGCGTCATAAGAACCACGTTGGCAGTTTGAGGAGTCCTCATGAGCGTACACGTACACACGAACTGGACGGCATAATCTCGTCTTACAACCAGCTCCCTCGATGTGTTGTCACTCCCTCAAAATGATGCAACACACTCCAATATGTCCCAATATTTCACTCACTCCCTCTTGACCAAGGCAAAACTACCGAGTTTTAGCCATAAATAGACAGACTCGCTACGACTATCGAGTATCTACCCCTCCGAGACCCCTCAAGACAGAATGGATCCCTCCCCCGCCCTTCAGCAGCGAAGCCACCTCGTGCACCACGGACCGCTCCCTTGCCCTTGACGGCTCAACCCACATCAAGAGTAGAAAAAAAGCACATATTGAGAAACATAAACACAAAGACGCGCCTGAAACGGTGGCATAATAAATAACATGCCCCTCTTTTCAGCTCTTTGTCTCGACTCGACGGTCTTCTTCTCCCTGCTTTCGGCCGACTCCAGACGTGGGGTCAGTCACTTTGTTCGCCTCCCTCTCTCTCTTCGTCTCCCTCGGGTAATTGGGGCCTGGTTTGTGCGTGCTATCTTGGGATCGATCTACGCTTAGGTAGCGCCTTTCCCGCTGCGGGAAGCTTGATGAGGGAATCTCAGGTCCACTTGTGGCCGAGTTCTTTGCTCGGCGGTCAAGGGTAAGCCCTGGATTCTTTGACGATGCTGTTTCAACGGCGGTTTCGTGGATTTTTGTTGAAAGACGGCTGGCTTCTACTCGGCGCCTCTCTTCTTTAAAGATCCAGCCAAGCTTTGATTTGGTATTAATAGATGAATGAACAAGATCATCCCACCTACGTAATTGTGTAGACTCGACTCGGATGGCTTGGTCTGGGCAGGGGCAGAAGAGCCGCCCTTGGTGTAAGCCCTTGGTAGAAGCTCTAAATCCTGGCCTTTACGTAGTGGGCACATTGAATCTTTTTTGTGTCTCGTGACTAAATCTTGTGTGTGTGTGTGGTTCCTTAGGTTTCGATCCTCGGGCATAGTCTGACTATTTGCATTGGCGGCTCTACTCCTTGGAACTCCCCCCTTACATGATGAGTCTGTGTGTGTCTGCCAACCTACACCATCTTGACCAATGTGGCGGTTTCATTGACAGACCATGTGTAACTGAATGCGCCTACTTTACAAAGCTTTCACGAACCAAGTTCCACACCGACTTACACGTAGGTCACCACCCTTTGGACACTCTCACTCTGGTCCTTACCCTATACATGGCCCGCCAGAGGTTGGGGTCAGTGTCGTGGATCTGACCAATGCGTGGGGCTGGACTTTGCTGGAGACCACAGCTTGTAAGTGGAGGGGCATAGGCGGTGAACTCGGAGGTGGGAGGGCGTAGGATCGTTGCTGAGGGAGGTTAATTTGTGAGCCTCCTTTACGTGGAAGCTATCGCGATTCCTGCAAGGCGGGTTTAGTCTAAACCATATCAACGTTAATATGTGAAAAGTTTAGCAAGGAGGGAAGGGGGACTATCAGCCTCAGCAATGTATAGAACCAGGCAGATGCGTTGAATGGTGCTTCAACTATATATATATATATAGGACGTATGTGTACATGTTGAGACCCCAAGGTTCCGTTTATCCTCGAGGCAAGATCGAGACCTCAGCAACCACAATTCCTTCATCTCACCACACCTCCAACTATACTCATCCATCGATATCATATACCAACCATCATGGTCCTCGAAACCCCATGCAGAAGATCGAATCTCACTCCAAGCATCACCAGCCACAGACCAGACATACACCCAATATTCTCCCATTCATGACAGGCACTATATTATTACGTCGTGATTACATCCAAGCCGCGTCCCCCCATAAACGCCAAACGCAAGAGCTTCATCATCTTTCGCCCTGTCAAGACTCCCCCGTTCCCATCATCGCACGCCATGCAGAAAATGCCAGTCGCACCAGGGTCCTCTCATCGACACCTGGCTCCTCTCAACAGCCCAAAGCACTACCTCTCATCCCCAATCAGATTAGAATTCCCTGCTATGCCACCTCTCAAAGTATCCAGAATCCCCATGCTCTTCCCCCTTTTTTAGTCTAAAAGCGGTATTTCCAACAAGACAAGGAGAGTAATGGGGGATAAGAAGTTGCGCCAGAAAAGACAACTCCTGGAATCCAACCCTACACAAAAGCTCCCCCAGATGCAGTGATGCAGTGTATGAAAAGAAGATATAACAGCGTCGTCGTCAATGAACATGCCTTTGTTGCTGCCGATGCAAGGACGGACAGGAAGGAAAGAAAACGTAGGCCGGTATGTGTCGTAAAGCCCGGCTGCCAAAGAATCGAAGTTGTTTTTGTTGTGAATTAGTCGTTTCCGCCATATCATGCATGGCCACGCCCCCCTTTAAGCGGGCTCGTTTCCGTCCGGCTTCCCTCCCTTTACATCACCACGCAGTCCTTGTCGTCCTTGTTGTTTTTCTGTATCTTGCCATTCCGTGGCGGAGCAACCTCCATTGGGGTTCCCTGGCCGCTTACAGCTGCCTGGATAATCGCCAGTCGCTGTCTGGCTCGCTCGTCTCCGGCATCAGCAGCCTTGACGTACCAAACGTTGGCTTCCAGGGCGTCCCGTCGACATCCAATGCCCATCTCGGTAAAGTATCCAACAGCATATTGAGCCTTGACGAAACCTAAGACTTTGTTAGTTACTGCAGCGACTCCATATATGATTTCACGACATACCCAAATCCGCGGATCGACGCGCCCACTCGTAGGCCTCCTCCTCATCCTTCTCCAAAATTGGAGGAGCGCCAACCATATACCAGGCGCACAATCCCATCATAGCACCAGCATGTCCCCGCTCAGCCGCGCCAGTGTAAAAGTGAACACTGAGTGCAGGATCGCGAGGACAGTTGAGCAAACCGTGCTCATAGGCATCACCGAGACGGTAGTTCGCCTCGGGATGCCCTAAATCAGCAGCTTGGGTAAAGAGCTCCGCAGCGTGGTTATCGTCCTTAAAGATATCTGCACCATAGCCGTTCTCGTACAAGCAACCGAGTTGGTAGGGGGCCGAATTGTACTGCATGTCCGCAGCCTCGCTGGCAAGCTTCATCCACTTGATACCCTCTCGATATCTCTTCTCTCCGAGGTCACCGGAAAGACAGGCTTTTCCAAGCCGTGTCATGGCACCGGGGTGACGCTTCGAAGCCGCTGAGCGTAAGAACTGCACAGCCTTGGCTGGATCTTTGCGGCAGCCCCAGCCAAATTCGTAACATAGCGCTGTTCGATATCCAGATTCGGCATGGCCGTGCTTCGCAGCCAGGACGAAGAGAGGGAAAGCCGAGTTGTAATCCTCCTTGCCCTTGTTGAAGAGTCCAGATGCATAGCCGTCAGCCAGATAGTACTGAGCAAAAGGATAACCAGCGCTGGACAAGCGCTGGAGGATTTGCCGGGCTTCGCGAACCAGCTCATAAGGGGTCGAGACAGAGCCCTCGACAGTCGGGCTATCGTGTCCCTTTTGCGGTTTCGGGCTGTTCTTTCGCATCTTAGGGTCCGAGACATCCAGGCCTTGCTCCTGAGCGGTGGAGATCAGGAAGACAGCAAACGAGTATTGGATCGACAGATCATTAGTCTTCTTGACATTGGCACGGTACATGTCTAGAGTCTTTTGGGTGCTCAGGAGAGAGGCATTGTTGCCAATGACTGTTCGGAGGTTCGAGTTGTCGGGAGTCAGGGGCGCCGGGCCTTGCTGGGGATATGGAGCATTGAGCAGCTCTGCATACGTTGACAGCCTTACATCGGGGGATTTACGTGCCTGCGAGCCACCCGGCATCAAACCAGGGGAGCGCCCGCGACCGTCCGAGTAGATGGAGTAGGATGATTGCGGTCGAGGCATCGAAGTCCTCCTCAGGTTACTCGAACTCGGTGTTAAGTGACGTCCAAGAGTGGAAGCACTCTCGGCCAGATCGGGGGTGGAATAGCTCCTCGAGTCCTCATTGGGAACGCTCGACACACGCGGTGGGAAATCCTTCTGGTGGTGGTACTGAAACTGGGGGACAGACTGGTTCCCAGGCAGATTTCCTTCAATGATGGAGCTCTCGGGAGAGTCACCTATTGTTCGGGCTTCGGCATTCTCGTTGATGCCTGACAGGGAACTTGCACTCGTTGTTGCAGATGACTCGATCGAAGTTTGCTGCGGGTTTGTGCTTGCTGTTTCGTCCGACTCGCGGCTGTTGCGGAACTGGTCTTGGTTGCGCACTCTGTCCGTAGGACTTATCTTGTTATGCTCGTAACGCTCATGGCTCGCCGTATAAGTGGGAGACAAGTTTGACGCGGCATTGGGACTCCTGGTTGGGCTGGACACCGGGGGTTGAGGCTGGCGAGTAAATGATGTATCAAGTGGTAGAGCCGGAGTCCTGTCAGCTCGGGGGGTTCCCTGGGCACCATCGTAGAAGTCCTGAGAGTCCTCAAACTCGGTACTGAAGCCATGTGGCGGAGGTGGAGGAGCGGCATCTGGGGGCGAGGGGAGGGGATGGCGGGTGCGGTCGGCCAGTTCTAGTTGCGAGGCCTGTCGCTGGGCATGTTCGATGTCGGCGTTCGAGGGCTGTGCCCAGTTCTCGTCTTGAAAATTAACACGAACGGGGGAGACAGGGGCCTGGCGCAGTTGCGGGCCGTTGGCGAGGTTGAGATTTGGGACACGGATGGGGCTTCGAGGTGCGTCGTCGCTTTGTCTCGAGTCCTGGTAGTTGGAAGTGGGCGACGCTGCTGTTGGGGGCGATGAGGTGGTGACTGCAGCCATAGTTGCGTATGAGAGTGAGGCTTTGGCAGTGCCGGGGCAGCCAAGCGTGAAGTTGGGAGCTTTTCGTCAAAACGAGTGTCGAGGTGAAGGGGGTGGTTCGGCAGCCTTGCGACGAAGCAGCGCTTGATGATGGTGGAGCACCCAGAATTACGGTGTCGAGACGGGGCGGGTGTTATTGGAGTGCCAACGGTCGTCGAAGCATCAGCCGTAGGGAGTTCAAGGCGCAAATATTCGGATCGACGACGGACAGCAAGAGAGCAAAGACAAGAGCGAGCGTGGAGGAGAGGGTGGCCAGTGACACTTTAGTAGCCTAACAGCGATGGATGCTGGTGGAGGATATTTGGGTGGTTCGTCGGGAGCCGGGCACCCGAAACGCGGCGACACAGCGGGGACAAGGGGGCGGGAGCTGCCTCTGGGAGGATGGATGGAGATGGATATGAACGAGCGACAGGGGGTGGTTGAAGACGGGAGAAAACGACTGGACTGAACGGGAGGCTGAAATAAGGGTTGCCGCGTGGAGACGGAATGGGATACTCGATAGAAGAGTTTCTTTTGGTGGGTGAAGGAGGAGAAGAGAGGCAAGACAAGCCCAGAGTCGGACGAGAGTAGAAAAAAATTCCAACTAATGGATGGGCTTGGGTCAAGGTGTGGTTGGGTGACGGCCGACGACTTTTTTTGGGCGCTGCACCGTACCGTATCGAGGCCGTGGTGGTGGTGATGATGGCTCAGGACAGGATGGAGCCCACTGAAAGAATGGATGAGAGGGGACCTGGGGCCACCCGCTGCACGCCCGGTTCAGCGGTTATAGGTACCCAGGCTGTTATTGAGCCGTTGGCTCCTTGAGGATCCAATAAGCCGCTGTGGGATGCGGTTACTTTACCGTTGCAGACGTTCAGGCGTCAGACGGCGCAGGACGATGGACATGCTTTAGTGGGGTTTGCTACTGGGCTTGCACCGCCATGACTCCAGCTCCGTCAACTAATGGAAGCTTTAAATCTCCGCAAGAAGCTACGGATGCCTACGGTGCAATTCCCATGGACGGTCTGTGACAGGATACCAAGTTATTATTGGCAGTTCGATAGATATCCCTCACCGTTCCCAATCGTTCAATTGACGATATTCAGGGCTCATGTCCATCACCAGGAACCTGCCTGCCTCCTCAGGTTCCTTCTACCTGGACCTGGAGCTGAACTCGCGAAATGGAAGGAGCGGACAGGGATCCTACAAAGTCACCGCCCCAACCCCACGAGGCAGATTCTCCTTGCAATGGACCCCAATGCCACCAACAGTCATGATCCTGGTCCTTCGCCATCATTCACTTCAGCTACTGCGAGTCTGTGCTCACTGAGAGTATACTCTCGCCCTCTTCACATCATCACAATGACAAGTATCGTCTACAAAGCGAATCCGAGCCTTTCTACAAGTCAAAGAGGGCATGCGACATGCGCATATGTGCCCACCCCCCTTTTCCCTTCAGCCTACGCGTCAAAACAGCAACCACCAGACAAGGGGCCGCAGAATAATAGAGGGTTCGGCATGACGAAATCTTGGTGCGGGAATGGCGCTGTCAATACAGGTCCGCTTATTTCTCCAGAAGCTCAAAGGAGAGGCGGAGAGGAAACAACACTGAAACGACGACGACCACTACGGCACACAACGTGCGAGCTCTCTCAGGCTGGAGGCGGCCAAACTTTCCTTGATGGTACGTTGCCCCCGTCATGGCCTGCTGGGATTAGCGCATTGGATCAAGGGTCCAGACCAAGTCCAGGCCACTGGGACGCTCTGCAAGAAACTGGCTGAGTTGCTTTCTGGGCTGCGCTAGTGCTTGTCCTGACCGCCAGGGCCTTCCATGAGGCCCGTCAGAGTTGACGACATCGTGCCCGCTTGCCATTCAGCATGGCGCCAAGCCGTCGATGTTTCATTTGCTTCAGACAGCCATCACTTCAGCGCTTTGAGGAACCAGGCGTCCAGTCATTGCCCTCGAGTACCAATACACTGAGCCCCTATCAACCAAGCATGTGTCAACTCTAGCCGGGAAGCTCCGCATGCCTTTTGTCCATGAGCGGCAGATGTGGGATTAGAGAGATCAGCCAAGGCCACACAACACAGCAACAGGCACTTTACACCACCAATGCATCGCATCAGTCATCGTGATCGTCGACAAACTCCTACGATACAAGGACCAGCTCCCTTCCATCTAGCGTTAGATCTCTCGACAACTCTCGCTTGTTGACGATCCCTAAAGCCTGTTTAACTGCAACTGTTGCCCGTGCGGAATGGGACACCGCCAACTTTCATTCAGGCTTCTGTTCAAGATGCAAGTCCATGCATGAAAAAGAGCAGACCCCTTGCCGAGCAGGGCTGAGCAACCGCCATCGTGACCATTGTCGTAACCACAAACAACCTTCGGCTTCCCGGCCTCAGATCTAATAAATCGGCAGCAGGCGACGCATGGGGCCAACCCCGAGTCGACTTGGCGCACCCAACTCTCGCCCGCATAATAAGACAGAATTGCTCGGGGGTTTCCATAATTGGCGTCGTTCGTCGGCTTCCTCGGCGGGTCGCATCTCATCTCGTCTGATGAGCCCGCGCCTCTTTGATGACCATACCTACGGAGTACCTGTCGGCTCACTTTATTGGGGGCCCCGCATTGTGTTACTGGCGTTCAGCCATGCTAATTAACAGTTGCCATAGGTATATCTTTCGACCCAGGACAAAAAGCAATAACGCCATCTAAGGTGTGCATACGTGTGTGCTGGCGTTGCTTCGATTCTCTTTCAGCATCCATATCGGACTCTTCGGCTCGCTTTCAAGCAGGCATCCTCGTATTGCCCAGCCTAATGGCAAACTACAGAATCCGGAGTGCTTGTCATCAACGACTCCTCTTTAGCCCCAAGGACCCTGCATCTCTTAGCGAGCTCGCGCGTTCATCCTTGTAGTTGCTACGCGCCGTTGGCCGCTCGTCGGCTCTGGCGCCAAGTAGCAATTTGAAACTGCCCCTCAGATCAGAGTGATGAATTCATACTCTGGAGGAAGCACTTGGTTAAAGTTGTCTTCATCTGGGAGCTTGCTATCCATCTTGTCCAACCACCTGGACGATAGGCTTTACACGTCACAGTCCCTGCCACGCCGCAAACCAATGAAGTATCAATTGTTTTGGCTGAGGATATTTTCAGCCTTGGGCTACCGAGTACATTAGCTCGGCTGGCCAGGGTTCCGAATGGTCAACCCTTCCTTCAGCTGAATTGGGGAAGGCTCCTCGGAGAGTTAACGGATTCCGAGGGTCCCTCCTCAGGGCTCTAGGGCTCTGAGCTCACTTGCTCCGCTACGAGGGAGATTTCTTAATGATGGTTGACCCTAGGCAAGGCTGGCAGGGCGGCTATATTGACTTGGCCCAGTGGTCCCTCTCCGCTAATATGGGCTAGTGGAGCAAACATCGCTGGGCGAGAGGGAGAAGAAAAATGGGCAAAGAAGTCAGCCGACTCTGCGACAGATGACGGAACTTCCAGCGCGAGTGGTTTGGCTCATGGCGGGCCGTCTACCGATCGGCCCCGCTGTTCTTGACCAGGCTCCGAACTCTGCTCCGGCGCCTCGATCGTCTCCACACCGGACTAACCGCTGCCCCAACTGGTAATGGCGTTTCTACCGCCATGTCGAATCAGGGGCATCTGCCGGCCTGTTTTGATTGATTCTCTCCTTGCCTTGTCTTTGATGAACCTAGATTTGTATCACACTTGCGCTAGAAAGTCGCCATGGTGTTTTAATTCACGTCTATCCGCCTCTGTCATCCCATCATATGTGGTCCCACTGTTGCTGGGATCATGCACTCTGAACACTGGGGAACCCCGCGGCATTCAAAGGTCTGACAGCGTCTGTTAACTAAGCTTTCGTCGCAGTGACCATATTGAGGCTGTGTGGGTGCTTGTCTGGCTGGCGTCACCGCCAATTTCTGACGTGTTTTTCTACTGGCGATCCGGCTCGTATCTGTCTCGGTTGGAGTTGCGGGAGGATGCTCTTTGTTGTGATAATGTCTTGCAGGTGCCCGTCATCCCTCTTATTCTCTCTGGCGGCGTCTTGGTTTATTACGTGTTCTCGCCGCGTGTAACCCATATTTGCTATAATTGAGTGAAGGTATGGATACATGGTTCTGGGTTCTCACCGGTGTTACTGTCATGTCTGGTGTTAAGTCCGATGGCTCAAGTACTCCCTTCAGAGTACCACCGACTCGCGGTCTGTCACCCCATCGAAAATCCCCGGGCGTGTGACACCTGCAGTAACTGCACCAGCGGCTCGGACCTCCTCAATCTTGTCTCATCGCCAACCACGCGTACCTATGTGTTGCAAATGATATATCAAAACTGAGCTACCCTGGACCACGATGTGGCGTATTCCTACCTTTTTTCTCCCTCTATTTGTCATACCACTATATTCAAGCGGCTCATCCGGAGGTATGACAGTCTGTTCGCTGTCGATGAGTAGACGGTCGGTCCTGGGGCAGGCTGGACAGTTCACAGGAGGCATTGTTCGTCACTGTGCCCCTGTAACCCGCGGATCTTATCCATACCTTAATCTGAACTGCCTGTTAACAGTTCCCTACGTACAATGGCTTATCTGATTGCAAGGACACGATGCACTGGTTGCAGCCGTCATCCATGCCTGACACAACGATGGTGGCACAGTCGATGTGTACTAGACTGGGTTGATGTCTCGTATACACAGACGCCTTTAACATGACATTGGCGAGTATGCGATTGGGCGGCCCTATAAGAGACAAGCGAAAATAGGCATAAGATCAGCGAAAACCAAGAGTCAATCGGCATCTCCGTCTATTAAGATTGAAGGCCGGCCCCATTCCACCGCTTGAAGCATCCCTGGCCATCTCGAACCATGGTCTCGCGTGTAAATGAGAAGGGTTTACCGGCCGAGAACTGAGTACGCCATGAACATCAAGACAACAGGCTCAACCCTAACACCGTCCAATTCAAACATGGCTGGAGAGA